ACGAGCTACATCTATGGGGAACAACTCACAAGACACTCCCTCTCAAAAATAACTTCGTCCACAAAGAGGATTTGAGAGGGAGTGTCTTGTGAGTTGTTCCCCATAGATGTAGCTGGGCAACACAGATAAACGCTATGGCCGAACGAGCGCATCTCCAGAAATGACGTCATGATAGAACAATGTTTTATCGTGAAATAAACAACACTTTGTTCTTCGTTGTTCTTTGTGATCTATCGCATAGCTTTCTTATATAAAAATTAAAAAACGGAAAACTAAATGTGAATTTCTTTTTGCTGCCGTCGTCTATGTTTGAGGTCAAAAAGGTGTTGAGCACATGTAAAGTTATTATACAATAAAGAGACAAAAGCAGATTGAACATATCAAACTATGCTAAGCAGCTACAAGGACGAAGGGGGTTCTAACAAACGGTTACATCTGATTGGCTGAGGTTTGGTGAATACAACATCCGGGGTATTTCCCATTCTAAATTCAGTACCGTAAATTACCATATACTAGTATTCCTATCAATAATATGAGGTAGGGCCAACATAGAGACTGTCATATCAAAGGCCGTTACAACCAGACCCGTATTACACCTCCTGGCGGGCTGACACAGCTTGTCAATGCATTTGAATGGCAAACGGTACCAGCCATGGTAAGAAATTGGAGTTTCATCTCTTTGTGCGTCGCCTGCTCGGCTTGCTTTCCCGTGACAATGTCTTCCAAACAAGGTGAAGATACAGTTTACGAGTTGATGTTATGATTTATGATATAAAGGTTATGATATGGCAGTTTTCAACTCTTGTGTCGTGGTATCCTAGTAAGTTTTAGAGGAGCGGATTAATTAACTGGTATTGATTCCTTTCACTGGATGGACAATTGAAAAACGACTTCATCTGCAGTGTGCTCGGTTTTTACCGTAACTCACTAAAAGCATATTGTACTTCGTGAACAGGACGTGTATCGATTTTGACGTGTTATTATGTGCTTATGTTTCGCCATCTAGTAACCATGGTCGACGTCAATAGGTGAAAGTGACTCGGATAGACAAACAACCCAAAGCCTGTTCAACCAAAAGAACAGTGGAGGACATCACGAAGCTAAAGATTAAGTAATTGTTATCGGGGATTTAAAAAAAATATTTGTTGTTCTTTTTGGAGGGTGTGTCATTGTGTGTTAGTGTCTTGGTCTCTTTGTTTTGTTTAGATATTTTATTTTTGGTCATCTTATTGATATAACATTAATAATTATTGTTTTAATTGCATCCTGCAAATCACTAATCCTCCAATACCAAGCCACTGTATTAGCATTCAGTCTGACATCCATTACCAACATAAAACACTACCATCTAATCAAGTGAGTCTTTATCAGGATAATATCATTTAGTAAACAGTCCAATAATAAGATCTGCAAATAAAGCGTTTGCTATCATTCACTATCCAAAGCGCCCTTTCAGTTTCACGTCGATTAATACTTAATAGTCGTAATGTCGGTGATTCGCCTCACCTATCAATCTGTCCTATTCGGTATACCTTGTGTTTGTTGTGGAAACCTTTGTTACGTTAGTGAGAAAACTATATTCCTATCGACATATTCACTCTCATAATCCCTACACAGCAACCTTCAACCCGATCACCTGATGTTTATAGGGGCATTTTACACTTGAGCGAACACTGCCACGTTAATAATGGCATTTCAAAGTAAACTACATAAAGCTTGGACTGTACTATAATATACAATCAAACCTGAAATCGCAACCCACACGTCGATCTGACAGTGTGGCATTAAATATTTATTTTAAAGTATGCGAGCGCAAAGTCAGGGTATAGCTTTGATGCACTAAAATATATTTAGCGTATTTTTTTATGTTTCAGTGCATTCGTACAATACGACGTCACATATTAAATCAATATAATAATCAAGTTATATGACGACGGCCTGTTAATAATCGAGTCTGGGCCCCGTTCCTCAAAGCGATCTTAGTGCTACGATGATCGCAAGCCTATGCTAAAGTATGGGACTTACGATCACCTTAGCGCTAAGTTCGCTTTGGGGAACGGGGCCCTGGACCGGAAATCAAGTGATTGATATTATGATCATCAAACCACGTAGTTGAGACGCGATGACATGCGATCAACCAAATCACCGAGCCCCCACAACAGGGCCCACTTGCACAAAGCGATCTTAGCTCTACCATGATCGTAACTCCCATACTTTAACATAGGCTTACGATAGTCTTAGTGCTAAGATCGCTTTGTGCAAGTGGGCCCTGATCGGTTTAGCCGCCTCTTCTGACAAGCATAGATTGCTGGTACCCTATATTCCTACGAATCAGAAGACGAGGACATGCGTACTAATGCATGTAATCGATAAAGTATTTCCGAAGTGCAAACAGGCCCTATTGGTTCATGAAAAGCGTGCTATTATCGAGTTCCCACAAAGCCATACTTTACACCTTAGATGTTTCGTGTGGCTGCGAACAAGCCGCTTCTGTGTTAAACCGTCGCAGAGAAAGTACAGGTGTCAATTTTAGTTTTGTTCAAATGTATATATTTATGGTTTAGAACAAAGGTGCCGAGGATCCTTGTCTCAGAACAAGGGTTCCAGCGGGTTGTTGTTTTCTGTTGCCAAGCAACATTCTAACATCGTTAATGCGTCGAAATCGATCATCAGACAGGCACCGCCGGTCAATGTAAATCTGAGAAAGTATCTTATTACAGTCATAGTGACACTAGAGACCGTGTTTGTCGATAATCATGCATGTTTATATTATTCTATATTAAAACTCAAGGTCTGCGTTGTCACCATGGATGTTTTAGGTGATAGACGTATTTGTCGGTTCAGCAGTGTTACCATGACGACAGTTGTATAAATTCGCCTTTACACATTCGATTTCTGATGGCAATGTCTTCCTGGTTCTGAGAGGGTGTTTTCAATGCCATACTGGACCTTGTACTGCTGAGGTTGTATGGTACCAGATATGTGCATGTTAATTACCCGAAATCACCTAAAAGACTTCTATTAAACGGTATACATACCCACCTCGATATACCGCAGACATATCCGCCAGACCTAATGGCTTATCATGTACCAAGGTTCTCTTGAAAAGCCTTTGTTTTTAGTGTCAACCTTGAAAAGGTTTGAAAATCACAGAATTCGCGAAATAGCTAAAAAGCTTTGATTTTGTACAAAGTGACATAAACGTGTGAATAAAAGTATTAAAATTCATGACAGGCTTAATATTTTTTATTTGGTGGTTGGGAAAATATATCTTGTGCGATGTTTATATTGTTTGTTAGGTGTCATAACTGTAATAGGACTAATATATAACATGCTGGATTAAGAAAGAAATATTGAAAAGGCCTTGAATATTAGTGTTCCATATCTGTATGAACCTTGCGTATGCGATTGGTAGTTCACTGGTAAAGGAGCCGAAAAGCCGGGTTCGATACCCCTCTTGGGTAGATGAGCATCTAATTCTTTGTGCTCACTGTCATACTGCGGGACTGTTTCTGACTCATTAAAGCCGAGAGGAACGCAGCCTGTTTTCTAAAATTATCAACATCTTATATCGAGATACATATTTCAGTATGTAACTGCTTCGTATTAACTTGTTAGTTTGTAAGTTTCTACATGACAGCGGTCTGTAAATAATCGAGTCAGGACCAGACAATACAGTGATTGGCATTATGGTCATCGATCCACATAGTAGGGATACGATGACATGCATCAACCAGTCAGCGAGCCTGACCCCTCGATCCCGTTAGTCGCCTCTTACGACAAGCATATTCGCCTTTTAAGGTAAACATGGATTGCTGAATAAATATTCTAACCCGGTTTGTTTGTTTGTTTGTTGTTTGAAGCCGCACTCAGCAATATTACAGCTATATCACGACAGTCTGTAAATATTCGAGTCTGGACCAGACAATCCAGTGATTGACATTATGAGCATCGATCCACGCAAATTGGGATACGATGACATGCATCAACCAAGTCAGCGAGCCTGACCACCCGATCCCGTTAGTCGCCTCTTATAGCAAGTATAGTCGGTTCTTGGGGCAAGCATGGGTTGCTGAAGACCTATTCTACCCCGGATCTTCACGGGTCACCTTGTCATTATTATTATTATTATTATTATTATTATTATTATTATTATTGATGAAAACCATTTAGGATAACAAGGTTATAAAAACGTTTTAAATAACGATGAATTCGTATATACAAACCAGTTATTTTTTACAAACTAGTGGACAGAGCGTCTGCCAGCAGGGCGGAAGGTGGGTGATTCGATCCTCGGCCACGTCATACCAAAAAACACGTTACAAGACGGTGTTTGTAGTCAATACAGTATTCCCTGCCTGGAACTCGGTAGTCTGTCTTACAGACCCTGATACAAATATATATCAAATACAGCTCATGCAAGTCTGTAATGTTTGGTAAGTCTAGATTACTGCAGTATCAGGAAGAGAGTCTCTGGGCTCCCTTTTATTATATTTTTATTAAGATAATTGACCAACTGTTTTTTTCTGTACGATATGTTCATTTCAGAGACTAGATGTTAGTCTAGGAACTCGGCATTAAGGGGATAAACCAAGGACTGGTCGGCCCGGTGTTAGTATTAAGTGTCAAAAGGGGGTACCCATGTTTACCTGCGGAAGAAGTGCAATAATCTTCAACACGCCATTAAACCCCATTTCACCTCACCTTTTTTATTTTCTCAACACTTTTTCCATCAGTTACTCGGACACATTTATTGCTTGTTGGTTGGAATACTTGTACCTTTTAACCGTACAACAATCCTCACCTTGATATCCTCATCCTGAATACCTGTATACCTACATGTATAAACCGTACATCCTCATCTTCATGAACACTGCTTGATAATCGATTTTATAAAACACATGGTTACAATCATGTGAAATAACGAAATACACACGACACTGTTTCCCTAAATCAAAGAGCATTAATTAACACGATTGCGGTGAAGTTAAGGGACATACCTTGCAGCAGAGTCGCAATCAGCACAACCAACCTTCCTGTCGCCATCGCTTCTGCTTGTGTGTTGGATTCACCGAGACAGGGTGTGGGGATGTTTACGACTGTGACAGCGCGGTCGGTTGCTCGCTTACCGCGGGTGGGGCGCGTAACACCTCCCTTTGAAATGTTTTACAAAGAACACAGAGGTTGTTTACAACATGCGTGTAGGGGGTAGGGCGAGGCCATGTGTTCACTCAGTCGAAAAAGATAATACTCTTTACATAACAGAATTAAGCTGCGCATAAGTAGAATTATGTATAGAAAAGCTTCGTTGAAAGTCCATTGCCGTTCCATTTATTCCAATTGTTTATATATACGTAGGTCTAAGTGGCATCGATGGGGTTTTTTATCACTTCCGATAGCGTTTACGGTTGCGTGCATCTGCCAGGTGAAGGCCGCTTGTACTTACCACACAACGAATACGAGGAGTTCTTTAATTAATCACCGCAATACCACAAGAGCCCCGTGAAGATCCAGGTCAGAATGCTTGGCCTTACAAACGACTATTTGTTTGTTTGGTGACAAGAAAAACCACAAGAAGCCATTGACATCAGGAGACACCAGCCAGCCATGAACCGTGACCAGGGATCTGCCAAGTGCTTGGGACTTATTTCTTTGATCTTTGTCGGTGCTAATTACCTGGCTGGCTTCAACTTGCCCTTTGCCATGTCCACTCTGCTCCATGTTGCTCCCCTGGATTTTTTTTTATTTATAGAAACCAGTTTAATTTGAATCATGAAAATACAAGTTGGGGACAAGTGATGCTTGTACAAATATTTGCACACACACACACACACCCTCCCATGTAAAAAAAAGTTAACTACGGCCTTGATGTACATATATATCCTCTCTGCCTCATGGAATTCATTCACCTGATGAAGGAGTAAGCATATACTCTGAACTCTGAAACGTTGTGTTCCTCATAATAAAGAAGTTGACATCCATATATTCTCTTACTTATGTTTGTTTGTTGTTTAACGCCGCACTCAGCAATATTCCAGCTATATGACGGCGGTCTGTAAATAATCGAATCTGGACCAGACAATCCAGTGATTGACATCGTGAGCATCGATCCACTCAATTGGTATACGATGACACACATTAACCATGTCAGCGAGCCTGACCACCAGATCCCGTTATTCGCCTCTTAAGACAAGCAAAGTCGCCTTTTATAGCACGTGTCTGCTGGTGTTTGGTCTGTGTTTGATATAAATGTTTAAAACACAGATAAATTGCAGCATATTTGCCTTCTTTTACATTTCCCCTAGCTACGACCTAGCTAAACCACATGTTGTTTATCAGCTTGCTAGAGGTCAGTTGAGGCACGTGTTAGTGACTCGGGTTTAACTGCTTTTAACAGTCTTTCAGTTATTTCCTCGATCATGTCATAAGAACTTAACATTAGGGCTGGGACGGGTAACGCGGGTACTTGGGTCGGGTGGGTATTGAGTAGGACCCAGGTACCCACAGGACTACCCGGACCCGTGGTTAGTCACGTGATATATTGTTTAATGACAAAAAAATATCTAAAACTCTATGGTTACAAGTCACCTATGTTCGCTTTTTTTCTGACTATGCACCCATTCCTTCTGACCTTTGTAGGTTTGAATAAAGATAAAACTTCAGTCAACTTCAGTGTATGCATGACGAGTTCGTTTTATACGTGTATCTACATACATTTTACCAGGGCTACGGTCAAACTATTCCCAATCGTGCTGGGTACGCGGGTAGTAAATGTGGACTCGTCCCAGCCCTATTTAACATGGGAGAAGAGTCTGGAGTGATGCATCAGGTGGTGTATCTATAATTGGATCGTTGACAAACATTTAAAAATATATTACCATTTTGAAAATGTTCCTGATATTTTCTCTCTGGTGACTCCCATTTCCCACCACAATTCTGATCTTGTAATAATAGTCTAAGAGAACCTTTGATGAACCAGGCTCCAACAGTCTCCTCAATTCATACCTAACAATTCCTCCCATTTCCCACCACAATTCTGATCTTGTAATAATAGTCTAAGAGAACCTTTGATGAACCAGGCTCCAACAGTCTCCTCAATTCATACCTAACAAAACAGTTTATTGACAAGATGTATTTTCATACAATCTGGTCACAGAAAACAGTTCAACAATAAGGATGCTTTGTCCCATCTTCCCGAGGCAAGTGAGTTAACTGACTATAAAAGTCCAGTTTCCACCCTTGCCGAACTAGGCTGTTATTATGGAGTTACATTTTGGCTGGACTAACGAGTCTATGCATAGTCCAATCAAAATCGCGCACTGAAATCGAAATCCGGTTCGTAAAGTGTCATGCAGATTTCGGTCGACTGCAGGATTTGCAAAGCATGTCAACCGCTAACTCGTTGTCACCAGATATTTTCTAAATCTTTTCATGCTTTTAATCAAGATGCTCACGTGATTTGATGCACTTCGCGATGTAAAACTCGTTTTATCACAATATAGATCTTGATTATCAATCAGATCGTCTTGACTGGGCGCCACCGTTTTGTTTGAAGCAAATGCGAGTAATACGAGAGGTTGAATCTGATTGGTCAATAGGAGAGGCATAGAAAGGACATAACTCGAAATAGCCACTGGTGGCGCCACGATCGAGCCCAGGAATTCCAGCCTAGTTCGGCAAAGGTGGAAACTGGACTTTTAAAGTAAGTTAACTCTTTTGCCTCGGGAAGATGACTTTGTCCTGTCCAAAATAATTTTAGAAAAATTATATCAAATAGAAAACAAAAATGCCTTTTAGAAAGTGGTCAAATGTAACTACATGTAATGTTATATTTGGGGTGACACTTTCTTAGTGAAGTACAGATTCTCATACTTTTCTAGGATTGAGTTCTATCCGGGTTTCAGACCCCCATTGCCATAGTGAGGCACCTAATCGCCAGCACACAAAGTCAGCGATCTAACCCACTCAGCCACTGAGACTTAACCAAAAATGAAAGTCCGACAACTGGTAGTCTAGATCGCATGCTTTTTGACTACTTTCTAAAAGGCATTTGTGTGTTCATAGCTTTTGGCCATGGGAGCCGTGCCAGTTTACACTTGTCAGAGTGGTACTCAATGTACGTGATCTAGACTACCAGTTGTCGAACTTTCATTTTTGTGGAAGCCTCAGTGGCTGAGTGGGTTAGATCGCTGACTTCGAGTGCTGGCGATTAGGTGCCACACTCTGTCAGTGTGGGTTCGACTACCGGACAGCTTCAACCCAAAAAAGTACGAGAATCTGTACTTTACTAAGAAAATGTCATCCCAAATATAACATTTGTTACAATATCAAAATAATTTTTGAAAAGTAATGTCATTATTAACGTCATTGTTTTGTGATAAATAACAACAAAAATCATCTTTGTAGTGTCGGACAATTTAATTTGTTATATTGGTGAATATGCCCATGGACATGTACAGGAGGCCAAATTAAAACAAAATAAAAAACTTGCTTTTGGAGTTAATTTCTTTATTTCTTTTTTTTAAATGATTAAAAAAACAGTTATCACAAAATTACAATAAATAACATGTTTAAAATAAGACTATTTTCAGTCAAACATAATATTTCACATCTAAATTTTAATTTACTTTTGCCATAAATAGGATAGTTTAATCCACATAACAAGCAAAAGGCATCTTCCCAAGGCAAGAGAGTTAACTGGACTTTTATAGTCAGTTAACTCACTTGCCTCGGGAAGATGGCAAAAGGATACTGCAGGCCTACATGGAAATGTATGTCAACTTCACATAGCAGAATTGAGATCTTTTTCTTCAAGAAAAAAAACCCAGAACTTTTTCTTCAGGATGTTGAAAGTGTTGACATTGTCCATGTTTCTACTGCTCGAGTTCTCTTTAACAAAAAGACATTCACTTTTCAACAATTTATAATGACTGCTGTTTTTCGCAATGGTAACTTTCTTTGGCACTGCTGGGATATTGTCTACTAGTATGTATTTGTTTTAACCTTTCTCTCACCACATGTGATTCATATGAATGACACAGGTAAATATGTGAGAACATTCAAAATCAGTATCATTAGCTTACTGTTGATAATATCAGGCTTTGTGAAATGTGGAGTTGACCGTTCATGTATTCACCATCTTTATCGTTCATGAAAGCCAGATGTTCACAGAATTTTCACAGCAGCCTGAAGTATTGTCATAGTTCTAAAGGTTTGACATACATAATATCCCTGAAATAAAGTTATGTATATGGTCAAACAATAATTCTATGTGTGAACCCTCAAGTGTCTCATAATGTCATTGCCAGTACTTCACGGTGTTGTGTCTCTTATCATGCTTATCAGTGTAGTTGCTATTTTAAATCAAGCAGTGAGAATGAAGCCTGTGATTGCAATGTCAAGTGATTTGCTGGCACGTTTGTTTACGTACGAATTTACACATAAGGAAAGCTGTATCTAAACTAGAACGTTATGCAATAGTTCTTTTAGCTAGTAGACATCACATTAATGTCAATCTCATTAAAATCAGATCTTAGTTATCGCTACCTCTAAACAAAGATCTGACCATTGCGGGTCATTTCAGACCAACCTTTCATCTGACCAATCAGAGCATCGCTTAGCAGATCATGAAAGTGACAGCTAGAATGTGATTATCGTGCAACCTCGAAAAAAACCCACACAGGGTATTCTGAACGAGTTATTGCCTTTATGTCTGTATTCATACAATATAGACCATCTGTTAGCCATTCCAGAATGTTCTTTTGTTCAGTTTTTCATTTTTAAATCAAGTATATACATGTATTTAAATATTTTTCGAAGCGCAGTTGCTAGTTTGAAACTCGTGCCGTAAAGCTTGATTAAGCTGCCTTCTGATTGGCTATTGCTGACTTCTTGTTAGTTATTCCATTGGTCAGTCAAAGTTCGCAAAAGTTCAGTCTGACGTGATCCTGTAATTGGATGTCCTCAGATCTTTGTTCAGCGGTAGCGAGAACTAAGATCTTATTTCAATGAGATTGCCTGTGATTGTTCAGATTACATTGCACAAACAGTATTGTTTCTCGCTTGACACAGTCATAGTCTAGCATTTGTCTGCTGTACACATAGCCTCGATCTCAGGCAATGGCAGGTTCACACAATGTTCATGTACAAAGTAGGGATTAACGAGACACACATCACCACCACATCACATTGCATCTGTATGTAGTCATGGGCGATGGAGTAATGTAGTGTATATAAAACCGTGATGTATTGGGAGTGAGTGAGTATTTGTTTTACGCCGCTTTTAGCAATATTCCAGCAATGTCACAGTGGGGGACACCAGAAATGTCCGGAATCAAACCCGGGTTTACAGCTTAAAAAGCGAACGCTTTAACCACATGGCTACCCGACGATGACGATGACTAAGTTGAAACCTGAGGATGAGGATGGACTAAGGCGAAACTTCAGGATGAGGATGACTAAATGGAAACTTGAGTATGATAAAGTACATCAAACATCATCACAGCCATTACAAAGTCAGACATAGAGAGATTACGGTATTATACAAGCATGTGTGTCAAGCTGATTTTACAAACAATTTTCTTCTATTTCCCCGAGGGAGAGTGAGTAAAATCAGTGTGACACACATGCGAGCGTAATAATTTCTTTATTGCCAATTACTTCTTAGTTGTTTGATATGCATTACCGGGTACTTAGAAGTTGACAGATGACAAGGTAGACACAATTTATGGATAACAACTAAATTACTGTAAAGTTTCGGTATAGATCCTTATACTGTTGTTAAGCAAGCAGTCTTGCTTGACAACAGTATAAGGATCTATACCGAAACATCTACTGTGTTATTTCTTAATCGTTTTGAGCTCCCCTTTAGAAAAACCCGGTCTAGGAAATCCACAATTGTCGGAAGACGTCAACAATCTTCAGCTTTGACGTTGTTTCTAATGTGACGTCATTCTGACCTTATGTCACAATAAGATTTGAATGATGTCAACAATGCTGTCCGGATGACGAAACAATACACTGGTGCGTGTGAAGTGATATTTGAACTAGTTTACATACGATTTTTATAAACTTGGTTATTTCTAACCCTGTGGGTAATATAAGACCATATCACAGCTGCTCACTCTATCACAAGAGAATATACATACCGTATTCGACGTAATAAGCGCCCTGCTCTTAATAAGCGCCCACGGCAATATTTGATAATATATTGGCTAGTGAACAATCCTAATTAGCACCCCTTCTGATTGATCAATGTACACAAGATTTATGTATTCGCGTATAATACGCACTCGTGTGTTATATGCATCCTTAATTATGGGCAATTAAATTCTGGAAAAATGTATCTGTCGTATATAAACATTTAAGGCTGTCAGCATAAACCACAAAACTTATCTTTCAACGGTTTTTTTCACCAAAATATTATTCTTATAAAAGCCCCCCCATTTCTAATTTGAGAGCGCCCTGGGAGCTTATTCCGTCAAATACAGTACTTGACTTTTGTCAAACACACCACCATGTCTCACAAGCATTTACAACACTGAAGAAAAACAGCACATGGACATTTTCTGAGGGAAGGGAAGCAACTCCAATCGGACACCCACTGCTGTAAACATTGAGTGCTCTCCCTTTGTCTATGCCAATCAGAAGTGTCACAGGTAAAGTAACAAACTTTGAGGGTTTGCTTTTATATTAAAAAATAACAAATGGCTGTCGTTCTAAGTTTAAGTGAGACATGCAGATTGTTCTTTGCATAAAGAGGTAACCTGATGATTACAATTAGAAAAATATGAATACTTCTTGTCTTGGAATGTTTAAAAACTATTCCTTTGAAATAGTTCTGTCATGATTGTGACATTCTTCTTCAAACAGGTTAAAATACAGTTGTAAAACTATATTCAAAATATATGAGGCTAAAAAAAATAATAGTCTCGGTTCTCAGGCACCGCCCACAACATCATTAAGTTCATTGCCATATCATTTTTAATTCCATTTAAAAAAAATAAAATACCTTAAATATGCCAAGTCCAACGGTTGTCAAATACTGTATTTCCAGTATTTTACTCATCAAGGAATACATTTATGTAGGTAAGCCCTTTCCAAGGTTTACAATTGTTTATTTGGTTACACAACTGTTGATCTGGTTACAAACTAGATAGCAAAACCAAACAACAAAAGACACTGCCCACCCACACAATATTTTCAAAAACCATTGCCCGAGAACCAATTCTTTTATTTTTTAAAGCCTTAGTAAACATTTTGTTTAATATCTACATTCTATATTATGCTCTGGTTACAGAAAAGACATAAATGTCAACAAATGTGTAGTCATGGTTATTTGAACAATTCCTTGATTCAATAAAAACTATTTTGTGACTTATTTCTCTGATGTCCATATCCAATATAATTAACAACACCAAGACATACATCCTTTCACTGCCTCATTTGGTGTTTTTTGTGACCTGGCAAAGTTGATAAACACTTGTTCAAGTGTCGTCTGCCCGACGAGGTAGTCCTCAATGTGGTACGTGTCCTTGGCTCGTTCCATCGTCCCGAACAGCTGTGCCCATGTGAAACGTGTATCAGTTATGTGATAATGTAACATGCATTGATGAATGTCCTTGAGAATGCTCCCAGGGAACTGACCTTCAATGAAAGCCCTTAAAGGTTCAAGGTCAGGTTCAAGGTCACCTTCAGGATAGGAGACCTTGACCATCAAGGTATAACCTTCACCGAATTTGTTCTTGAGATGTTGTGTGCTTCCCAAGCATTTGAACTGACCATTGACCATGATGGCTATTCTCGTACATAGGGCTTCACACTCTTCCATGCTGCAGAGAAACAAAACAGAATTAGGGCTGTAATTTTGTATTTCTTGGTTTAACAATTTCATTTTCATTTTCAAACCGTGGTCAATATGAAAACAGAGCACAAATATACGTGACCTCTTCAAAAGTATGCTTTGAACAATTCATGTGAAAAATTGTACGGAAGATTTGTACGGTTCCAGGAATGTTTCACTGAATGGGAAGTGAGTTAGTTCTCTCCTCACACTCTTCTAATTAACACTGAGTGAGTGAGTATGGTTTTACACCGCTTTAAGCAATATTCCAGCAATATAACAGTGGGGGACACCAGAAATGGGCTTTACACATTGTACCAATGTCGGGAATCAAACCTGGGTCTTCAGCGTGTCAAGTGAACGCTTTAACCACTAGGCTACTCAACCGCCAATGGGAAAGAAAAAGGATTGTCCTTAAATTTAAATTTAATTCCTCATGTATTAGTCTGTCAGAAATTCCAGCTAAAGTCTAGAATGATTTGGCAAGTCTAGATTACCTCTGCTCTGAAATTAAGGATTGTTCTGGGCTCCATTTGAATTTTATTTCTTTCATTGAATATATATATATATATATATATATATATATATATATATATATATATATATATATTTATATATATATATATATATATATATATATGTGTGTGTGTGTGTGTGTGTGTGTGTGTGTGTGTGTGTGTGTGTGTGTGTGTGTGTGTGTGTGTGTGTGTGTGTGTGTATATATTTATATATTCTTGAATAAGATAACTTTATTTACAGCAGAGTAAAGGGATAGATAAATGCTCAACAGAACATGATGACAATGACCATTATTTTCGGTTTAGAGTGTGAACAATTTGTACTCTGTTTACAGTACAACCCATAAACATCATCTTGTTAAAATTGTTACTGGCTTTGGGGTTTTTTTTGGTTTGTTGTCCTACGCTGCACTTAGCAATATTCCAGCTATATGATGGTGGTCTGTAAATAATCGAGTCTGGACCAGACAATCCAGTGATTGACACCATGAGCACTGATCCACACAATTCGGATCGATGACGTGCATCAACCAAGTCAGCGAGCCTGACCACCCGATCCCGTTAGTCGCCTCTTACGACAGTAGCTGGTACACTACTGAGTCTGGGTTAGGCAAGCCAGTGGTTGATAGCACGAGTACCCAACCTTGTCACTATGGAGAGGTCGTACCCAATAAGCCAGGTTACGCATGAGGTATTCAGGACTTACCTGTGAGATGTGAGTACCAGCGTCCTCCCGCTGTCCCGTACAGTTGCCAAGGCATCCCATAACAGTCTCCTGGCGACAGGATCCATACCTGTTGTTGGTTCATCCAGAAATATGATTGGTGGGTTGCCAACAAGAGCGATAGCAGTGCTGAGCTTCCTTTTGTTCCCTCCACTGAAATATCAGCAACAGGAGAAGAGTAAATTTGTTCAAGTTGATTTAAATATTGAAGTTTCATTGACTCTTCTACTATGTCATTAGTCACCACTCGCCCCTTTCCGTAACCTGCAAGAAGACTTGTCTCCCTTTCGCTGAATCTTATGTGCAAAAATACGACAAACCAGTCAGAAAGCACGGTCAAAGATTTCCTCAGGAATAAGTTTAGATTTTACATATGTCTTACATTTTAAAATATACCCAAGATACAGTTAGATAAATGTGTTCAGTCGTACTGTATAATAACGTAAGTCCTGGTGTGTTTTCAATAGCATCTGGAATATATTTGACATATGGGGGATTCATTACACATCGAGTTGACAATTCTTTTAGCTATACCTGTTTGCGCTTAGACGGAACCCAGTCGCAAAAATGGCGACGAGTGGGGCATGAGTCACTATTCGGCTTGCCCCAAAGTAATTGAGTTAGTCACGAATTCTACTGTGTCAAGTCAGTCTTCAGGATCCAGTCAACCATGGATCTAAACAATCCCTTCCTTGTTTTCTGTGAGTAAGTTCAAATTTAAATCGCAGTATTTCTGTTATATTTCTGACTCCTATTATTCTGAAGTATAGGACAGAGATATTCCATCCCTAGTCTGTGTTTCTGTACACAGTCTAAAAAAATGCCTTACACATTAATAAATGTCATATTTTCTCATGACCTCAAAAGTATACTTAAAGGCAAAATAATTGATTGATAACTGAACATTAATAACATGCACAATCTCTACAAAGAAATGTCTCTAAAATAGACATAGGCAAAGAAGAACCAATACCATCATAAACAAAATAACAATCAAGACTAATTCTGAAGGTATCTTAAGGCCAAGGGAAGATTTTATGAAGAGCTCAACTGCATGGGCTACTAACTCACTGTGCACAGTTATGTCCCTTAGATGTTCTATTTTGTTTGTTGTTTAACGCCTCACTTAGCAGTATTCCAGCTGTAAGACGGCTGTCTGTAAATAAACATGTCTGGACCAGACAATCCAGTGATTGATATCAAGAGCATTGATCTTTCTAATTGGGATATGATGACATGCATGAACAAAGTCAGCAAGCTGACCATCCCATCCTGTTAGTTGCTCTTTAAACAAACAAAGTCACCTTTTATTGCAAGCATGGGTTGCTGAAGACCTATTCTACCCGGGATCTTCACGGTCCCCTTGGACGTGTTAGGATGGAATGTGTCTGAATATGATTGAGAGCACTGTACTTATGCTTGAGGAAAGTGGTATATTTTCACAACCTGCTTCATCTTGGGATCTCCCCCCAAATTAAGGTGATGTGCTATAGAAATACCGCTCAGGGCTCTGTTCCACAAAGCAATCACAGAGCGATCAATATTACTACCCTGACATACCTGTAACTTAGTGTAAGCTTGGGCCACACACTATCCATATTACTACCCTGCCATACCTGTAAGCTTGGCCCAGAGACTATCCATATTACTACCCTGCCATACCTGTAAGCTTGGGCCAGAGACTATCCATATAACTACCCTGCCATACCTGTAAGCTTGGGCCAGAGACTATCTATATAACTACCCAGCCATACCTGTAAGCTTGGGCCAGAGACTATCCATATTACTACCCTGCCATACCAGTAAGCTTGGGCCAGAGACTAACCATATAACAACCCAGCCATATCTGTAAGCTTGGACCAAAGACTATCCATATAACTAACCAGCCATACCTGTACGCTTGGGCCAGATACTATCCATATAACTACCCTGCCATACCTGTAAGCTTGGGCCAGAGACTATCCATATTACTACCCAGCCATACCTGTAAGCTTGGACCAGAGACTATCTATATAACTACCCAGCCATACCTGTAAGCTTGGGCCAGAGACTATCCATATTACTACCCTGCCATACCAGTAAGCTTGGGCCAGAGACTATCCATATAACAACCCAGCCATATCTGTAAGCTTGGACCAAAGACTATCCATATAACTAACCAGCCATACCTGTACGCTTGGGCCAGAGACTATCCATATAACTACCCTGCCATACCTGTAAGCTTGGGCCAGAGACTATCCATATTACTACCCAGCCATACCTGTACGCTTGGGCCAGAGACTATCCATATTACTATCCTGCCATACCTGTAAGCTTGGGCCAGAGACTATCCATATTACTACCCTGCCATACCTGTAAGCTTGGACCAGAGACTATCCATATTACTACCCAGCCATACCTGTAAGCTTGGACCAGAGACTATCCATATTACTGCCCTGCCATACCTGTAAGCTTGGGCCAGACACTATCCATATTACTACCCTGCCATACCTGTAAGCTTGGCCCAGAGTCTATCCATATTACTACCCTGCCATACCTGTAAGCTTGGGCCAGAGACTATCCATATTACTACCCAGCCATACCTGTAAGCTTGGACCAGACACTATCCATATTACTACCCAGCCATACCTGTAAGCTTGGACCAGAGACTATCCATATTACTGCCCTGCCATACCTGTAAGCTTGGGCCAGACACTATCCATATTACTACCCTGCCATACCTGTAAGCCTGGGCCAGACACTATCCATATTACTGCCCTGCCATACCTGTAAGCTTGGGCCAGACACTATCCATATTACTACCCTGCCATACCTTTAAGCTTGGCCCAGAGACTATCCATATTACTACCCTGCCATACCTGTAAGCTTGGGCCAGAGACTATCCATATTACTACCCAGCCATACCTGTAAGCTTGGACCAGAGACTATCCATATTACTACCCAGCCATACCTGTAAGCTTGGACCAGAGACTATCCATATTACTGCCCTGCCATACCTGTAAGCTTGGGCCAGACACTATCCATATTACTACCCTGCCATACCTGTAAGCTTGGCCCAGAGACTACCCATATTACTACCCTGCCATACCTGTACACTTGGGCCAGAGACTATCCATATAACTACCCTGCCATACCTGTAAGCTTAGGCCAGAGACTATCCATATAACTACCCAGCCATACCTGTAAGCTTGGGCCAGAGACTATCCATATTACTACCCTGCCATACCTGTAAGCTTGGGCCAGAGACTATCCATATAACTACCCAGCCATACCTGTAAGCTTGGGCCAGAGACTATCCATATTACTACCCAGCCCTACCTGTAGGTTTGGGCCAGTTTATCAGCATGGTCAGTGAGGAGCAGAGAGTTGATGAGGTTGTTGACAGTGCCAGCTATCTCCCTCTCCATCACACCACGGAGGCGTGCGTACAGGGTCAACGTCTCCCGCCCTGTCAGTTGACCAATGAGTGCATCGAACTGTGGACAGTATCCTAGTCGCTGCTGCACCTGAAAGTGTTGATGTCTTATACTAGCCAATGCACTGTCATGAGTCAGATCGCAATGTTTCATAATAGCCAGATTACATGTCTCAAATAGCAGTATTTAATACTGGACAATATAATTACAAGGTCAGATAGCAATGTTTAATACTAGCCAATATAATGACATGGGTCACACAGCTATGTTTAATCCTAGCCAACATAATGACATGTTTCACATAGCAATGTTTAATACTAGTCAATGTAATGACATGGGTCAGATAGCAATGTTTAATACTAGTCAATATAATTACAAGGTCAGATAGCAATGTTTAATACTAGCCAATATAATGACATGGGTCACACAGCTATGTTTAATACTAGCCAACATAATGACATGTTTCACATAGCAATGTTTAATACTAGTCAATGTAATGACATGGGTCAGATTGCAATGTTTAATACTAGTCAATGTAATGACATGGGTCAGTTAGCAATGTTTAATACTAGTCAATTTAATGACATGGGTCAGACAGCAATGTTTCATACTAGTCAATGTAATGACATGTTTCACAAAGCAATGTTTAATACTAGTCAATTTAATGACATGGGTCAGATAGCAATGTTTAATATTTGTGAATTTAATGACATGTTTCACATAGCAATGTTTAATACTAGTCAATATAATGACATGGGTCAGATAGCTATGTTTAATACTTGTCAATTTAATGACATGGGTCAGAAAGCAATGTTTAATACTAGTCCATGTAATGACATTGGTCAGATAGCAATGTTTAATACTAGTCAATGTAATGACATGGGTCAGATAGCAATGTTTAATACTAGTCAATTTCATGACATGTGTCCGATAGCAATGTTTAATACTTGTCATTTTCATCACATGGGTCAGATAGCAATGTTTAATACTAGTCAATTCAATGACATGCATCAAATAGCAATGTTTAATACTAGTCAATTTCATGACATCGGTCATATAGCAATGTTTAATACTAGTCAATGTAATGACATGGGTCAGATAGCAATGTTTAATACTAGTCCATGTAATGACATGGGTCAGATAGCAATGTATAATACTGGTCAATGTAATGACATGGGTCAGATAGCAATGTTTAATACTAGTCAATGTAATGACATGCGTCAGATAGCAATGTTTAATACTAGTCCATGTAATGACATGGGTCAGATAGCAATGTTTAATACTAGTCTATTCAATGACATGGGTCAGATAGCAATGTTTAATACTAGTCAATGTAATGACATGGGTCAGATAGCAATGTTTAATACTAGTCCATGTAATGACATGGGTCAGATAGCCATGTTTAATACTAGTCAATTTAATGACATGGGTCAGATAGCAATGTTTAATACTCGTCCATGTAATGACATTGGTCAGATAGCAATGTTTAATACTAGTCTATTCAATGACATGGGTCAGATAGCAATGTTTTATACTAGTCAATTTAATGACATGGTTCAGATAACAATGTTTAATACTCGTCCATGTAATGATATGGGTCCGATAGCAATGTTCAATACTAGTCAATGTAATGACATGGGTCAGATAGCAATATTTAATACTAGTCAATTCATTGACATGGGTCAGATAGCAATGTTTAATACTAGTCAATGTAATGGCATGGGTCAGATAGCAATGTTTAATACTAGTCAATGTAATGACATGGGTCAGATAGCAATGTTTAATACTAGTCAATGTAATGACATGCGTCAGATAGCAATTTTTAATACTAGTCAATTCAATGACATGGGTCAGATAGCAATGTTTAATACCAGTCAATGTAATGACATGCGTCAGATAGCAATGTTTAATACTAGTCCATGTAATGACATGGGTCAGATAGCAATAATTAATACTAGTCAATTTAATGACATGGGTCAGACAGCAATGTTTTATACTAGTCAATTTAATGACATGGTCCAGATAGCAATGTTTAATAGCAGTCAATGTAATGACATGCGTCAGATAGCAATGTTTAATACTAGTCCATGTAATGACATGGGTCAGATAGCAATAATTAATACTAGTCAATTTAATGACATGGGTCAGACAGCAATGTTTTATACTAGTCAATTTAATGACATGGGCCAGATAGCAATGTTTAATATTTGTGAATTTAATGACATGTTTCACATAGCAATGTTTAATACTAGTCAATATAATGACATGGGTCAGATAGCTATGTTTAATACTTGTCAATATAATGACATGGGTCAGATAGCAATGTTTAATACTAGTCAATATAATGACATAGGTCAGATAGCTATGTTTAATACTAGTCAATATAATGACATGGGTCAGATAGCAATGTATAATACTAGTCAATATAATGACATGGGTCAGATAGCAATGTTTAATACTAGTCAATTTAATGACATGGGTCAGATAGCTATGTTTAATACTAGTCAATTTAATGAAATGCGTCAGAGAGCAATGTTTAATACTTGTCAATTTAATGACATGGGTCAGATAGCAATGTTTAATACTAGTCAATGTAATGACATGCGTCAGATAGCAGTGTTTAATACTAGTCAATTTAATGACATGGGTCAGATAGCAATGTTTAATACTAGTCAATGTAATGACATGGGTCAGATAGCAATGTTTAATACTAGTCAATTTAATGACATGGTTCAGATAGCAATGTTTAATACCATTCAATTTAATGACATGCGTCAGATAGCAATGTTTAATACTAGTCAATGTAATGACATGGGTCAGATAGCAATGTTTAATATTTGTGAATTTAATGACATGTTTCACATAGCAATGTTTAATACTAGTCAATATAATGACATGGGTCAGATAGCTATGTTTAATACTTGTCAATATAATGACATGGGTCAGATAGCAATGTTTAATACTAGTCAATGTAATGACATGGGTCAGATAGCAATGTTTAATACTACTCCATGTAATGACATGGGTCAGATAGCAATGTTTAATACTTGTCAATGTAATGACATGGGTCAGATAGCAATGTTTAATACTAGTCAATGTAATGACATGGGTCAGATAGCAATGTTTAATACTACTCCATGTAATGACATGGGTCAGATAGCAATGTTTAATACTGGTCAATGTAATGACATGGGTTAGATAGCAATGTTTAATACTTGTCAATGTAATGACATGGGTCAGATAGCAATGTTTAATACTAGTCCATGTAATGACATGGGTCAGATAGCAATGTTTAATACTAGTCAATGTAATGACATGGGTCAGATAGCAATGTTTAATACTAGTCAATATAATGACATGGGTCAGATAGCAATGTTTAATACTAGTCAATGTAATGACATGCGTAAGATAGCAATGTTTAATACTAGTCAATATAATGACATGGGTCAGATAGCAATGTTTAATACTAGTCAATGTAATGACATGGGTCAGATAGCAATGTTTAATACTAGTCAATATAATGACATGGGTCAGATAGCTATGTTTAATACTTGTCAATTTAATGACATGGGTCAGAAAGCAATGTTTAATACTGGTCACTTTAATGACATGGGTCCGATAGCAATGTTTAATACTAGTCAATTTCATGACATTGGTCAGATAGCAATGTTTAATACTAGTCAATGTAATGACATGCGTCAGAAAGCAATGTTTAATACTAGTCAATTTCATGACATGTGTCAGATAGCAATGTTTAATACTAGTCATTTTCATCACATGGGTCCGATAGCAATGTTGAATACTAGTCAATTCAATGACATGCATCAAATAGCAATGTTTAATACTAGTCAATTTCATGACATCGGTCATATAGCAATGTTTAATACTAGTCAATGTAATGACATGGGTCAGATAGCAATGTTTAATACTAGTCCATGTAATGACATGGGTCAGATAGCAATGTATAATACTAGTCAATGTAATGACATGGGTCAGATAGCAATGTTTAATACTAGTCAATGTAATGACATGGGTCAGATAGCAATGTTTAATACTAGCCAATATAATGACATGTTCACATAGCAATGTTTAATACTAGCCAACATAATGACATGTTTCACATAGCAATGTTTAATACTAGCCAATAAAATGACATATTTCAGAGAGCAAGATTTCAGAGACAGATATAGTGTGTGTGGGGGTGACATTTATATATGTAGAACTAAAATGTACCAAAGCTTGTACAATGTTTTGTTATATCTGAAGTATTTTTACTTGTTGTTGAAGAACACTGGGGATATCTACCCATATGTGTACCCCGGGTAATATCTATGAACAAGCATGAAAAAAACAAGTTACGAACCTTAAATTTAATTCTTTTTGCACTTGAGTTACTTTTGGAATGTATTATGTAAACATTTGTATTGTACCAAAATGCTACCAAATGAAAAGTTTTGAAAAGTTGCATGCCCAATCAATGATTGGGCTATTATTGTATTCCCTAAATTACCTAAGCTTTCTAGTTTAAGATCAGGGTAACAGATAAATTAACTGCAAACGTTAAACATATTATTGATGAATAAAATTTCAAAGTTAAAGTTACTAAGTTGATAATCCACCAGTTTATTGTTATTTTCAGAGAACTAACATTAAACAGTAGTATTTTGATGTTTACCGTTTTGTTATGGACTGGAAACATTCTATCTGATTTGCAAACTTTGCAAAGTTGCCAGTCAGGTTATCTGACTGAAATTTGGGGGTATTTTATACACTGTCATGCTTCCAAATTCATGATGGCCATAAACATGTGTTCACAGATTAAGATTGCACACAAACCTCTTGTGTATCTGACTTGACACTGAAGCCATCAAGGAAAGCATTGCCGCCAGTTAGGATTTCATCCCCCGTCAACATCTTGAAGGTTGTTGTCTTCCCGGCACCATTCACACCAAGAAGGCCAAAACACTCGCCTTGGGGAATCCCCACAGAGATGTGATCCACGGCGCGATTGTTGTCATAGTCCTTCACTACTTCCTGCAGAAGCAGCTTGTCAGACTGGAACAACTGATGTAGGGATTGGTTGGCCAACCGAGCACGCTCAGTTGCGACATCGGAGTCTTCCTGTATTTGACTGTCGGTGTTGCTGAGTTGTCTGTACAGGAATGAAGACCGTCTGCTTCCAGAGCCAAGGTTGCGAATGGCATAGAAAAGCTTTTTGAAAAGGTTGAGTTCGATTGCAAATAGAAGGCTGAAGTAGACCACACCTTGGATAGCCAGGAAGATTAACATTCGGCCAATACCATTCTGTGCCCAGCCGAAGTAGTTCTCGTTGTTGTACAGGCAAGAGTCCACGCATTCTGGAACCGAATGATTTGTTTGTTTGTTGTTTTACACTGCACTCAGCAATATTCCATCTATATGAGGCAGTCTGTAAATAATCGAGTTTGGGCCAGAAGAGTCAATGATTGACATCATGAGCATTGATCTATGCAATTTGACAACGATGGGATGCATCAACCAAGTTGGCGAGCCTGACCACCCAATCACGTTAGTTGCCTCTTACGACAAGTATGGGTTGCTGAAGACAAACTCTAACTCGAATCTTCACTGGGTAGGAACCTCAAGAAGTCCATTGAAATAAACTTAAGCAAGTTTTATAGGGTACCATCATAAACAAACAAAAAAACAACCAGAAACAAACAAAAATCTAGACCAATTAAATAGGTATGTTCGGGAAATTACCATTGTCCAGAGAGACAGAACAGCTGACTGACTGAACTAACAGCTAACGACTGAACTATATAACAGCTGACTGACTGAACCAACAGCTGACTGACTGAACTAACAGCTGACTGACTGAACTAACCTGACTGACTGAACTAACAGCTGACTGACTGAACTAACAGCTGACTGACTGACTGACTGAACCAACAGCTAATGACTGAACTATATAACAGCTGACTGACTCAACAAACAGCTGACTGACTGCCTGAACCAACAGCTAATGACTGAACTATATATAACAGCTGACTGACTGAACTAACACCTGACTGACTGAACTAACACCTGACTGACTGAACTAACAGTTGACTGACTGAACCAACAGCTAATGACTGAACTATATATAACAGCTGACTGACTGAACTAACACCTGACTGACTGAACTAACACCTGACTGACTGAACTAACAGTTGACTGACTGAACCAACAGCTAATGACTAAACTATACAACAGCTGAGAGACTGAACTAACAGCTGACAGACTGAACTAACAGTTGACTGACTGAACCAACAGCTAATGACTGAACTATATAACAGCTGATTGACTGAACTAACAGCTGACTGAGTGTCTGACCTAACAGCTGAGTGACTGACTGACTAATAGACTGCAAATGCTTGTTTTTCTTAATCTATACAATTATCTATATGACACTAAAACAGCTAGATCAAAACAATATTCAAAAATACTTTGAAAACAAAATAGTGTATTTACCATCACTGCAAAACATCGTAGATGGTTTAGGCATCTGGCATATTTGTAGGAACTCATAGTTGGAGTAGAAGTCCTCCAGGCCCTGCCCGAGGCAGAAGTTGGGCAACACCGACATGAAGACCCACTCCAGGATCCGGGACGTATCCTCGAGCTCCAGCTGGGGGATGGCCAGAATACCCACGGTCAGAACTGTAGCCACACCTGGAGGAGAAACACCAGATATACACTTCTTGTGAATCTCATACTTCACGATTAACCCACACTGAAAGGACTTTCTATCCCTTGAATGAGGCAGAGAACTTACTGGATCTGCCTGACCAAAATCTAGACCAATCTGCAGTTATCTTCATAATCGCCCTGTACTAAGCCTTACAAAACTTAAAAACTTACATGACAGTCCTTATTTTCTTGTGTATGTTAGTGATCATTTTACAAAATATGCAAGAGTGTAGAAAAGGATTATCGTTGCCAAATAACTATTATCGGAAAGGTTATAGTTTCATTTACAAAAGGTCTCTAATGCTCAATCTCTGAAAACAAATTTAACTTGTGTATGGTTTCAATAATAGCTCTAATTCTCAATTTTCTAAAGACCCATGGTGCTTATTACAGCAATTATGGTACATCACATATTTAGCAGGCAAAGATAATTTGTATTGCCGACTTTCAAGTAGACTAGTAGATAAAAACCCTTATTACTGAATTAGAACTGAATTGACTATTGAAATGGATTGACTATTTCGTATTGGATTTCCAGGACAATAATGTGATGTGAAACTTTGTTTGGATCCTTTGCTTCCCTTCTCCACCCCAATCCATTAGGCCAAAAAAATAATAGTCTTAGTACTCGGGCAGCACCTCCACCACCATAAAATGAGCCGCATGTTTCATTTTTATTTTTATTTTTCCAAAAAATATAAAAATAATCATAATTAAAAACAATGCAATCTAATATGGCACCCAGTTACTTCCCTTTACATTAGCACTGCTTTACTGTGCATCTCGTGTTATGGTCTTGGCGGCAATAGGAGTTTGTATGCTTGTTTATGTAGCGAGGCCCTTTACCAGGTTGATGGTACACAACTGTTTATTTGGTTACATACTACATGTAGTTTGAAGAAGTAAAAAAAAAAACACCACCCACCGGCAATATATTTTCAAAAGTCATTGCCTGAGACCCAATTCTTTTATTTTTTTTAAGTCTAACACCTAAAATTTTTAAATGGTCATGTTTCTTACCTGAGAGTATGTTGAATATGCTGATCCAGACGTACGCTGATGCTGGCACGGAGAAGATGAACGACATCAGGTACATAAATGGCAGCATGGCCCATCCATACATGACAAACAGCAGCAGTATGCCTGCCCAGTGGAAGTCCACGATGTAGGCATCAATCTGGAATGCTGCAAAACTGATGATGAGAAGAGTACAAGGAACAAGATAGTTGAACATGTCCCAGCAAAACGTGGCAGCCCAGAAGTTGAAGGCGTGGACTCCACTAACAAACTGGATGTGTTTTGCCTTGACACTCCGCTCTTTAACAAGGAACAGGACAAAACTGCTGGCCAAGAATGCCATTCCGAAGCAGACATTGAATGCAATGGTAAATCCTTCAGTACCTTGCGTGAGTTCATCATTGGCCCTGTTCTTGTCCGTTCGTGGGAGAGGATGGTTTGTCACCTCCATAGAGTAAGAGGAGTCATTTGTGATGTACTGAAGCACAGCACTTGCAACCGTTGCAAGAGCAATGGCTGGGCTGTGGTAGGCTTGGTTCTGGAAGTATGCTGTAGCATTGCTGATACCAGCCTCCGTACCTTCTTCAAATGATGCAGCAATTACATATCTGATGTTATATTTCCCGATTCCTTCTTCGCCTTTCTTGCTCAAATATTTTATGATGTCAGGGTCTTTTTTGAATCCTGCAATGTTGTTTATGTAGGTCAAGGCCGATGATGAATTTCCAAACTGATTCACATAAGCTGCAGCCAGGTTGCTTAAAGATTCATCTGGATTCAATCCAGTGGCATAGGGCACATAGTTTTTCTTGAACTGGTCAATGGTGAGCTTGAGAGCTGGTGAGTCGGTGGGCCCTGGGAAAATTTTAAGGACGATAAGTGCCATGACAGTGAAAAAAAGAGGCACAATCAGCTGTGACGCTGTGACGAGTTTGTTCCTGAATGTGTGTAGAAAGCGCTTGACGAACATGGCCCTAAACTGTTGGACATAGAGCGCGATCCCAGCATTGCGTCTCAGCTCCCGTCCCAGATCTGCAGGAAGGGAAACATCAAGTTTCAGTTATCTGTTAAATGTACAAGTTTGTTCACTGAATCACATGTGGCATAAGGTTAGTGAGTGAGTGAGTGAGTTGGGTTTTAACGCCGCTTTTAACAGTATTCCAGTTATATCACGGCGTGTCAGCTTAATGTGGGAGGAAAGCCCGAAGTGATGCAGGTATCAGATGTTTACCACTTCGGTGAAACCCACGAGCACGGGTATGGTGCTGACAAACCTAGAAACATAATCTGGGCGAACCGGGATTCGAACCCACAATCATAGGTTTCTGGCGTGCCCAAGGGACGCGACTCTGCACAGCGAATCGCGGCGCCTTAGACGACTGGGCCACCCGTGCCCCCTGTCATAAGGTTAAGTAGCAATTGTTCAATTTTACAGTCGTCATGTCTTCCTATGACCTGAGAAACATAAGAACATGAGAGACATGTCATGTCAGGTTTCAGTGCATGGGATGCAGTAAGTTCCATGAAAACAAACCATTTGCGTAAACTGTCAAAGTTGACTGTTTATTACAAGCCTGCACGAAAAATGTTGCTTGGAATTATTTTTAAAAACATGACCCCCTATGCAGGAACAGAATTTAATCATGGTCTTACACCTCTTTAAGCAATATTTTTGCAATATCACTGCAGAGGACCCCAGAATTGGGCTTCACACATTGTACCCATCTTGGTCATCAAAGCCTGGGTCTTTGGCGAGATGACTAGCTACCCTATCGCCCCCTTCTTTAATACAAAATAACCTTGAAAGTCTACTGGTCTGCAAAACGACATGTTTGACATACTACTAGCCCTTAGGATACTATTCCAATTCAGGACACTTGCTCTAGCTAGTGCACTGGAGCTAATTACTTCATGTGACCAACCATGAGATAAGGCACCTTGTGGGTGAAAAATCACATTTTGACTTTTTACTATATATTAAAACAACAGTATCTTAGGACCACAAAAATACATTTGATAAGCTTCAATTCATATTTATTACGGAGTGACATGCCATCAAACATTTGGACTCATTTTCTGCAAATTCCCATTTTCAGGCTTACATGTATTACTGTTTATGTCTGATTAATTGAAAGTAGACATGTATGCTGAAATGCTTTGAAATAATGTTTTTATCACATTACGAACTAGTGATGGAAAAATACTATACTTTTTTTACAGTCTGCACATATGGCGATTTTTACGGAGGCAAGTTGATGTCAAACGTCCTTCTTTATGACGTCTCAGCACAATTGTATCCTGGCACCCATAAGGCCCTTTTTTAACTCCTGACAGGTCACATATGTGTTAATAATCCTTAAGATGGCAAAACTAAATCATTCAACCCAAAGTTTCGGCAATTTTTTTCCTATATGATTTGTTTTCATACAATAAAATTTCAAAATTGAATCCACAAACATCCATGTAAAGTGCTAACAGAGGGAAAACTCAAACCCGGGCAATAAAAAATCTTACTGCAAAAATCGCAAACCTGTGTAAAATGATGTAAACCCCAAATACCTGTGATTCAGGTGAGCTAAATAGAACTTGGCTGTTTTAGCTGCCATTAATACTCTTTAGATAGCAAACAAGTGAATAAACAAGAAAATTAATTGTTGAGATTCTTTGTTCTCAGAGTAGTGATTCCCATAAACTCATGTATATATTTGGCTGTTTGTAATTTCACACTGCACACAAACATTTTCCTGCAATATGGCCGTGGCCAGTAAACAATCCAGTATGGACCAGACAAACAAATGATTGATATTATCAGCAATGATACATGCCATGTGGGCATGCAGTGGCCACCCGATCCATTAATATAAGTTGTCTCTTAAGACATATGGGCTGCTGGGGACCAATTCTACCCCAGAATCGCCATGGTGGTATTTTCCAAAAACGTCTACTGATTATCTGCCCTGTTCACTAGACAAAGCTCAACAACAGAAATGACAAGACCATGATATGTTCCTTCAATAAAACACAGCACCAAGACACTGTAGCTCAAGTTAATGGAGGAAGGGCTCAAAGTTTCGCGGAGTGATACTTCAAGCCATCACATAAGACATATATGAATGTTATGAGCCTCCAAAATATTCATCATATTAACTACAGAGTCATACATTCATTAAATGTGAAAAGACAATTTGGCATCAATGTACTATTTCTAAAAAAGATTAAAAACATGTTTCTGTAACAAACAAGTATCACCACATTAATTTACCATCATCAATATATATCTCAATATATTCCCGGGTATTTCAAGGGGTAATTAAATAGGTTTGCAGCAGTATATACATTATATATACATAAGATACAAACATTATTATTCAGCCGTTAATATGTATGTATAACTATCTATTTGACATAGAACTGTAAAATATGCAGATGCAATCTTGTTATTGTCACTTTGAAAATTTGATAAAGTAAGGTAATAGATGGCTTAAGAGCTGCTAGGATTACTGATTTATGTTTGTGTCTTTGTTTGTTGTTTAACGCCGCACTCAGCAATATTGCAGCTATATGATGGCGGTCTGTAAATAATTGTGCCTGGACCAGACAATCCAGTGATTGATATCATGAGTATCGATCTACGCAATTGGAATACGATAACATGCATCAACCAGGTCAGCAAGCCTGACCACCCAATCCCGTTAGTCGCCTCTTACAACAAGCTTATTCGCCTTTTATAGCAAGCATGGGTTGCAGAAGATCTACTCTACTCCGGATCCTTGCGAGTCAGATTTGTGTAATAATGATTTTTGTAATTGTAATAAGTACTGGTCAAGAAATAAGCAACTATACTTATATTTTACTTGTGACCTTTCTAGCATGAAAGAGAACATCAAGTATGTTAAAGTCAATGTTATTTAAATGTTTCTGATCAAAACTTAAACTCCCACGTTATAACAATTTCTGAATGCATTAAAATTTCAAAATATGTTTTTCACATCTGATCATGCTAATCAGTGATAAGAATTGCAAGCATTATATTATGATGAAATATAAAATCGTGTGAAGAGAATCGATTGAAGAGTTAAAATCAGATCTTAGTTCTCGTTGCCGCTAAACAAAGATCTGAGGACATCCCATTATACCGGTAGGTCACGTCAGACTGACCTTTCGTGAACTCTGACCGACCAATGGAATTACTGACAAGACGTTGACATTAGCCAATCAGAATGCAGCTTTCTCGTGCTTTAGCGGTAGCGAAAACTAAGATCTGATTTTAATGAGATTGGAAGAGTTAAAACACAAAAGATAAAAATTACATAATCAGGAATCGCTAGAAGTGAGTGAGTGAGTTTGATTTGAGCAAAATTCAAGCAATATCACGGCGGGGAACACCAGAAGTGGGATCAACACATTGTACCCATGTTGGGAATCGAACCCGGGTCTTCTACATGACGAGCGAAACTACAAGTTTGTATTAATGAGTAAGGCTTGGTTGAGTGACTAAGGTACTCGGGCCGGGTGGGTACTGTGTAGGATCCGGGTACCCAGATGACTACCTGGATCCATGGTTAGACATATTGTTTAATGACGAAAATTATCTAGAACTCCATGGTGACACTACAAGACACTAATGACACCAATGACACTGCAAATGAAGAAGCTGGATGAATGTGATAGAATTACTTGGGCAACTCATGTAAAATATTTACTAGACATTTATGGATTTGGTGTGTGGCACGAACAGAATATTGGTGATGTTAAGTGTTTCTTGCAGCTGTTAAGACAGCGTTTGTTGGATTGTAACAAACAGAGTATACAGATGAAAATTTATGATTCTTGTAAATTAAGGTATTATTCACACTTCAAGATATTATTGGATATGGAATATTATGTTACAGCTTTCAGAAATAGAGACCATAGACGTATGCTGTGCCTCTTGAGATTAATTGAATTGCCTATATTGAGTACTCTGGGCAGAAGAGAGGATATTGTTTATTCACAATGCTCTTGTCGACTATGAAACAATGGTTGTATTGAGGTAGGTCCATTTTGTGTTTGTCTGCAGGTTTTACGCATCATTAAGACAAAAGTATATTCCTGTAAGATTCTATTATAATCCATGTATTAATACTTTTAGCAATCTTTAAAATAGCCAAAATGACTGTATACTCATAAATGTAGCTAGGTATGTGAAGGAAGCTCTATTATTACGTACAAAGACCTAATATTGTACTTTAGTATTGTTTTCAATGTAAATTGCCTCAATTGTGTGTTACTATATATAACTGAAAGGCACATGGGCCTATGGCCTCCCATAAATGAATAAACATATATAAACTACTTATACTGGCATTTCTTTCTGACAATGCACACAAAGCTTCTGACTTTTATGGTTTGAATAAAGATAAAGCTTCAGTCAACTTCAGTGTATACGTTATCAGATTGTTTTATAGTGTAGGGGAGTATCTAAATACTTTTTGTCAGAGCTCCGTTCAAACAATTCTCAGACATTTTGTACTCATCTCTTGAGACCTACAGCTGGTACCCTTTAGGATCAGGTAATAGGGTGTTGGGCCTATTAATGAGGGCAAAAAGAAAACAAATATGGATCAAAACAGGGACTAATTGCACAAAATTACAACTCAACGCAGAGTTTGAAACATCTCAAACATAACACTCAATGCGGTTTCTTCTCCCTGATGCAGTACCTCCCACTGAAAATGTCCCATCATTGAAAGCCACTGCATTCTATTTCTTATGACGATTCCTGACTACTGGTAATGTTTTGCTTATCCACAAGATAAGTAGCAGTTTTAGGGGTTACATAGGCTAACAGACAAGGGGCTACACACAAGCTGCCTTTAACCATATACAAGCAGTTTTATAAGCAGCGTCACAGATAGGTGAGGACACAGCACTTACTGCCGGTACCGCTGACACTGTTGCGAGTATCAAGTACGTTTGAGAATTTGAAATTCAAGCATCACCTCATTCCTGATAATAAGTTACCAATAACAGAAGTACCATTAGTACAGTAGTGAGTGAGTGAGTATGGTTTTACGCCGCTTTTAGGAATATTCCAGCAAAATCACGGCGGGGGACACCAGAAATGGGCTTCACACAGTACAGTAGTGTACGGCTGTACAGGACAATCTGACTGCATCTCATTATGAAAGTTTTGTTAACCTGTAAAATCTGTTATATTTAAGCAGATTATTTTAATTTTGTGTATAAATTTCAGTACAAATAAAAAGTACAAATTTCCTGTACTGATTAGTTATTTGTGTGAAAAATAATATTATAAATGTGTGAAATTAGTAAAAAATTAGTAAATATCAAAACAAATTGTTAAACATGTTAAACATAATCTTCAAGCGCTAGTTTTTTTCAAGATTTGTTGACTTGTTTTGTCAGTTCCATCAGTTCAATTTACGCTCAGAAAGTATTTTCAATAGCACTTGAAGACAATGCTTAAGGTCATGCAGGCTTGTGCAATTAGGTATCAACAAACAAGCAAGCGTGAGACAAATGCTACCTCCTGATGAAAGTAACCCTTGCTCAATAGGTTTGTGAAGTACCTAGGTGCGTGTTGATGGAGGAGTTATCAGCTCCAGTAGCCCCTTGGGAGCCCTTCATGACTGGTAGGTTCACGCCCCCTTTCTGCAGCCTCTCTCGGAGATGACTATTGTTGTCCTCTCCAACTCTGAAAAATAAAACAAACTGCATGAAACAGCAATGAAAACATTTCAGTTTGGTGTTGAAGTTGACCTACCGGTAATCCCTTTTAATGCTCGGGGACCTATTACCTTCGAAATTTCAGATTAACATATTGTCTTGATTCAGGCAAAACAGCTTTTGCAAAAGTGAAAGAAAATGTATTAAACATGCCGTGGTCAATGCATTATTAAATGATATGTTTTGCATTGTATTAAAACAATTATTTTAAAATGGGTCTTTTTTAGAAATTAATCTAATATTGATATTTTGCATCCTGAAATCTGTAAAAGAAGAGAGTAATTGTTCTAATATGATCCCACAAAGCTTTGTTCTAATTGATTCAGCTATAACAGCTCAAAGTGCTGCTTTACAAGACTCCTGTGTGATGGTCCCCACCTGAGGAACACCTCCTCCATGGTGGTGACTGACGCGCCGAAGCTGGAGATGCCCAGCTGCTTCTGCTCCAGCTGCAGCTGGGTGAACAGCTCCTCGAAGCGGTGGGAACTCTCCTGGGGCAGGATGTAAGACAGCTCTGCACCAATGTTGCTCTCCAGCTCGGCTTCAGGGATGTACTTGGTGACAAGAGCAGTGATATTCCCCACCACACACTGAGGTTCCTTCACTATGACCATGTGGTAGCCAGCACCTGCAGGAGAGAGAGATGAGGGGAGTAAACAAGGGGGGTAACTCTAAACACACATCAATGTGGTAGCCTGCTCCTACAGGAGGGAGAAATGGAGTAAACAAGGGCAGGTAGCTCTAAACAAACTTCAATGTGGGAGCCAGCACCTACAGGAGAGTTAGAGGGAGTAAACAAGGGGGGTAACTCTAAACACACTTCAATGTGGTAATCAGTTCCAACATCAGGGAGAGATGGAGGGAGTAAACAAGGGGGGTAACTCTAAACACACATCAATGTGGGAGCCAGCACTTACAAGAGGGAGAGATGGAGGGAGTAAACAAGGGGGGTAACTCTAAACACACATCAATGTGGGAGCCAGCACTTACAGGAGGAAGAGATGGAGGGAGTAAACAAGGGGGGTAACTCTAAACACACATCAATGTGGGAGCCAGCACTTACAGGAGGGAGAGATGGAGGGAGTAAACAAGGGGGGTAACTCTAAACACACATCAATGTGGGAGCCAGCACTTACAGGAGGAAGAGATGGAGGGAGTTAACAAGGGCAGGTAACTCTAAACACACATCAATGTGGTACTCAGTTCCAACATGAGGGAGAGATGGAGGGAGTAAACAAGGGGGGTAACTCTAAACACACATCAATGTGGGAGCAAGCACTTACAGGAGAGATGGAGGGGGTAAACAAGGGGGGTTACTCTAAACACACATCAATGTGGGAGCCAGCACCTACAGGAGAATTGGAGGAGTAAACAAGGGCAGGTAACTCTAAACACACTTCAATGTGGGAGCAAGCACTTACAGGAGAGATGGAGGGGGTAAACAAGGGGGGTTACTCTAAACACACATCAATGTGGGAGCCAGCACTTACAGGAGAGATGGAAGAGTAAACAAGGGCAGGTAACTCTAAAAACACTTCAATGTGGTAATCAGTTCCAACATCAGGGAGAGATGGAGGGAGTAAACAAGGGGGGTAACTCTAAACACACATCAATGTGGTAGCCAGCACCTGCAGGGGGGAGAGATGGAGTAAACAAGGGGAGATAACTCTAAATACACTTCAATGTGGTAGCCAGCACCTACAGGAGAGATGGATGGGCAAGCTCCTTCCCAGCACGTGACACCTTCGTTACACTCTCGGTAACATCACTGCCACCAGTGTGGGCGCGGCCATTAAAAGAATCTTGAAATTTGCCCTCTAACCCCAAAAGTAGTCATGTTCATACTTTTGTTTATGTCTTTGGGAATGCCATCATTTTTCATTTAGAAAAGGTTTATGACTGACAATGTTTTCCAGATGAATTTACTTTGTTTTTTAAATAATCAGATTGGTTCGAGATTGCAGACTAACGGAAAATCAACCAATTTCTCCCCCCTATATTCTTACTGTATCAATAACACGATAGTTTTAATGAAACAGAAATTCAAATTGACAAAGAAAGAAAGTAATAAAGCAGTGATAAGTGTATTCGGCCTCACGACAGTCATCACTTGTTTGTAAACATAATGGTCATTCAGTTGCGAGTTCAACTCCAAGCATGGTTTTGGCCACCTATCACAGTGGGGAGTTATGACTGGTGGCAGCAATAGTATAGAGAGCTCCGCGAACAGGCTATCGCCAGAGTAGCTTGATGGAAGGCGTAAATAAGGGCAGGTAACTCTAAACACCCATCAATGTGGTAGCCAGCACCTACAGGAGAGATGAAGGGAATTTGGTAATCTGTTTCATTCACTGATGCTAGAAAATGGAATAAAATCTTGACACTGGGCAGATATAACTGTTATTCAGGAACAGATGATATTATGTATCAATTCCATCTTACCATATTTATTCTTCAAGAAGAGAGAGCTGCCACAACATTTGACAACCCCTTCGGCCATGATGGCAATCCTGTCCCCCAGTAGATCAGCCTCGTCCATGAAGTGGGTGGTCAGCACCATTGTCCGGCCTGCCCGGTTGTTCTGCAGCACGGTCCAGATGTGCCGACGAGCATCCGGGTCCATACCAGAGGATGGCTCGTCCAGGATCACCACCTGATAATCAGTAGAACATTAGACAAGTCACCTTGACTGCTAGCTGTTTCCTGAACAATGTTTTCTCAATCTAATTGACATGAAGACGATTACTTCTTCTTATTTCTTGGTTTACTGATTTGCAGAATATAATTCTCAAATCTGTGTACACCCACCAACATTTTAACCGCTGAGAGGAGCTACCTTAGATCCATCTATGAGTGCTATGCCCACAGTTTTCCCACTGAGATTAGCTACCTTAGATCCACCTGTGAGTGCTATGCCCACAGACAGTTTTCCCACTGAGATGAGTGAGTGAGTGAGTTGGGTTTAACACAGCTTTTAACAGTATTCCAGTTATATCGCGGCATGTCAGCTCAATGTGGGAGGAAAGCCCAAAGTGATGCAGGTCTCGGACGTTTACCACTTCGGTGAAACCCACGAGCACGGGTATGGTGCTGACAAACCTAGAAACATAATCTGGGCGAACCGGGATTAGAACCCACAATCATAGGTTTCGGGCGTGCCCAAGGGACGCAATCTGCACCGCGAATCGTGGCGCCTTAGACAACTGGGCCACCCGTGCCCCCGTCAATGGATCTTACTATGAATGCTATGCCCACAGACAGTTTTCCCACTGAAATGAAATACCTTAGATCCACCTATGAGTGTTATGCCCACAGAGAGTTTTCCCACTGAGATTAGCTACCTTAGATCCACCTATAAGTGCTATACCCACAGACAGTTTTCCCACTGAGATTAGCTACCTTAGATACACCTATGAGTGCTATGCCCACAGACAGTTTTCCCACTGAGATTAGCTACCTTAGATCCACCTGTGAGAGCTATGCCCACAGACAGTTTTCCCACTGAGATTAGCTACCTTAGATCCACCTATGAGTGCTATGCCCACAGTTTTCCCACTGAGATTAGCTACCTTAGATCCTTCTATGAGTGCTATGCCAACAGACAGTTTTCCGACTGAGACAATCTACATTAGATCCACCTATGAGTGCCATGCCCACAGAGAGTTTCCCACTGAGACGATCTACCTTAGATCCACCTATGAATGCTATGCCCACAGTTTTCCCACTGAGACAATCTACCTTAGATCCACCTATGAGTGCTATGCCCACAGACAGTTTTCTCTTCATGCCACCAGACAGAGTTCGCGACTGGGCTTTCCTCTTGGGCTGCAGTCCGATGTTGTTCAACATAAGGTCCACCTCAGATGCCACTTTGGCTGATGGTACACCTTTCAACTGTGAAAACAAGAAACAGATTCAACATAAGTATTGAAATTGCGAACATGATGGTAAAAAAAGACTGTCAAAAATTAATGAAATGAAGAAATTTGTCTGTCAAAATTCCATTTGCCTTGTAGCGGTAAAAGAAATGCAAATATTATTCTCTTGTGACAGACTTTCTTGTGTTCATCTTTCATAGGTACACATCTTTAATTCGGTGAGCATTTGAAAACAGGGCACAGAGGGTGAAAATTGGTTTCTGACTCACAGGACCTTGTGTCGAATTAAATATTTCTAGATCAATCACGAGTGTCAGAAATGTACTATCCTATGATCCTTTAACACAAGGCCAGACACTCCATACAGCACAGCTCGAGGAGAACTGTTTCTGACACACACCCATTCTGTGTGGGTCTGATGTAGGCCATTTGTGCCCAGTTGGTTTCAAAGTTGCGAGTCGACGGCTTTGGGTCGGTATTATTTCATAGCAATAAAGAATTGGGAGGTGTCATGTATTGGAATTGATAGAATAGTCACCCTAGACAAGGTAGATATGAAGTTTTTGTGCCTGATCTGCGATTGCACTTTAGTAACAGTGATACAAGGTGAGCTGTGCTGTATGGGGTGTCTGGCCTTGTGTGAAGGTATAATAGAATAGTGCATTTCTGACACTCATGATGGATCTAGAAATATCTAAGCAACGACACAAGGGCCTGTGTTCTGTTTCAGTAGTTGCTCAGATAAGTAAATATTGACTAGTGACCTTGGCAAAGAAGTTGAGATGTTCCTCCACTGTGAGACTGTCAAATAGGATGTCGTGTTGAGGACAGAGACCGAGGCTGCTTCTCACGCTGACAATGTCCTCTCGGATGTCGTAGCCATTGACCCTGGCAGTGCCCCCTGTTGGAGAGATGAACCCTGCGGGGACAGAATGTAGTTACATTAAGATACTGTATTAGACACAGAGCTGTACATTCATAATGATAGTTTTTTTGCTGTCGGAGGGAGGTGAGATAGCTCATCACAGAGAGTGTTTGCTTGTAATTTTAAGTTTGTTTGTTTGTTGTTTAATGCCACACTCAGCATATTGCAGCTTTATGATGGCGGTCTGATAAATAAATGAGTCTGGACCAGACAATCCAGTGATCGATGTCATGAGCATGGATCCACACAATTGGGATACGATGACATGCATCAACCAAGTCAGTGAGTCCGACCACCCAATTCCCTTAGTTGCCTCTTACAACAAGCATAGTCGCCTTTTATGGCAAGCATGGATTGCTGGAGACCTGTTCTACCCCGGATCTTCACGGGTTGTAGTTTAAAGACACAGGTTTGATTCCAAACATTGGTACAAATCATGTCCTCAATAACACCTACAGATTTAAACATAATATATGTTCTACCAGATTAGCTGGAATAAAGAATGTTATAAATGAGTATATTATGAAAAAAAACATTCTGACGCTATGCAATTTGAGTATTTACTATACAAATCTGTAAAAGTAAAAAATACATATAATGTATTACTGAGGGAGTAATTTGGGTTTCACATTGCCCTGAGCAATAGTTCATTTCTATCACATTATATCAACTAACATGAGAGTAAAGCCCAAAGTGACCGGTCCTACACGTTTACTACACTGACAAACCAATTATCATTATTCGAAGCCTTAGTCAATGGATCCTGCATGACAAAGGGACATAACTCAGTGAATAGCAGCCTCTTTAACCACAGGATGAGCTGTGACCCCTATAAAGGGTTGTGGCTATCCACAAATGTGAAGGCAGAAAACATCTGACCTGTCAGCATGGACATGGTGGTGGTCTTCCCAGCGCCGTTGTGGCCGAGGAGTGCAGTTATCTGCCCTTCATACATGTCAAGGGTCATCCCAGACACAGCCTTCTTACAAGCTTCCCCTGTGCCGAACTCCTGCCATACAAACACAGGGTGGTTAAATCATGAGGTGAAGTGAAGTGGGATGGGGTGAAGTGGAGGTGAAGTGAAGTGGGGGTGAGGTGGGAGTGAGGTGAGGTGGGTGAGGTGAGCTGAGTCTAAATGAAGTGAGTCAAGGTGAGGTGAGGTGAGGTGAGGTGAGGTGGGTGTGAGGTGAGGTGAGTCTAGATGAAGTGAGTCGAGGTGAGGTAATGCGGGGTGAGGTGAGGTGACGTGGGATGAGGTGAGGTGAGGTAAAGTGGGGTGAGATGATGTGAAGTGAGGTGAGGTTAGGTGAGATGGGGTTTAACATCAAGATTATTTCACTTTTATAGCAACATCCATGCATGTGTGTGTGTGGCTGCTTGTCCCAAGTCCAGACTAATGCAATTTACATAGTGCTTGGCAGAGCTACAGATATCCTGCATATTTGCGTAAAATACACCCTAAAATTATTCAAAACCCATTTACTATCAATTAACTTGCATACAGAAACGCATGCATGAAATGGAAAACTCAACTGTTTTAAAACAGCACAGGTAAATACCCAATGAAGCTTTTTCAACATGCGTACAACGGAGCTAATTTCCGAAACAAAATTACGAGCTAATTTACTTTCCGAGTCAAGCATATATTTAGAACCGTTATATCCACAACACCAGCTCCCTATCCACTACACCACAGAGGCCATAGTTAAAACATGAGGAAATTTAAAGTGACATTTAAAGAGATATTTCAACCATACAATTTTAGCTTTAAGTGGCATTTTAGAAGCTGTAATACCACTGAAGAAAGAGTTGAAATCCATCAGTGAACCCTGTCTGCAGTAATACAATTTTCGGGGCGGTAGGGTAGCCTAGTGGTTAAAGCATTCGCCCGTCATGTCAAAGACCCGGGTTCTCTCACGCACACAATTTTCATATATATATTATGCGCTATATTTCCGGAATTTCCCACACCACACAAGTTACAGGACTGGCTATCATGTTTTTCTCTGAAATCCCTTATCAACCAGAACTGCAGAGTTTATGGGAATAGTGCTGGAAGAGATATTTTTTTTAGCGCAGATTTTTAAGCGTTCTTTTTAAGCACAGGCACTGATTTCAGTGTGAAAGGGATGGGTTCCACAAAGAAGTGACAACGACAATGAAAGGTATTTTACTCTGATTTTGAAACCTGGAGCGGAAATTATTGATTTGACCGAAGTGCTCTAGCTGGGTTAAAGTGCATTGTGATATCTTTGAGATAAGAGGGATAACTAACGTTACATTCTGTATCCTGTCTTGATGGAATACAAAAATGCATTAAGCAGGTCTGATCAGGATAATTTCTTGCTACCTTTCTGTGTTCCATTAATACTTCCATCTTTGTTTTAACTATAGAGGAGTTGTCCATCTTTCTTACTCTCCCAAGGTTCCTACAAAACTTTTCAAGGTAATCATGCGTCTCTTCAAACAGACGTATTTGGACAATAGAACTTAATTGTCAGATTGACTGGTGTTTGTAAATACATCCAAGTCCACCGACCTGTACGTCAACTAGGGTTGAGACGAGTCCAAATTTATTACCAGGGTACCCACCCCCCTTTTACCCGACCCTACCCAGGAACCTGCTGGAGGTCTCAAGAGATGGGTACAAAATGTCCGATTGGGAATAATTTGACCGTAGCCCTGGCAAAATGTATTTAGATACACTTATAAAACAATCTGATCATGCATACACTGAAGTTGACTGAAGTATTATCTTAAGAAGGAATGGGTGCATAGTCAGAAAGAAGTGCGAACATTAGAGACTTGTAGTGTAACCATGGGGTTCTGGATAATTTTTGTCAGCAAACAATATTCAACATGACTAACCATGGGTCCAGGTAGTCCTGTGGGTACCTGGGTCCTTCTCAGTACCCACCCGACCCGAGTACCCGAGTTACCCGTCCAAGCCCTAACGTCAACATTAATTATCCATTACGTTTTGGGCTAATTTTCTGCTACATCATGCAATGATAGTAAACAAATGGAAGATATTCATATAGCATCAGAGTTAAAAACGGTTTCCACAGTCAAGGCATGTTATCAATTTTCAGGCCTTTTCCAAGACCAGACTGCTAAATTCGCCTTTGAAACCCGTGCTGGACATCTCGTCAAATCCTACCCAGGCCAGGACCTGCTGTGATACATGACACCTTCCTGAAGTGCTGTAGCTCACCTTGCTCAGGTTTCTTATGCTGATTCCGGGCCTCATGCCGACTGGGTCCTTCTCAAAGTATTCATCTTCTTTTTCGGTATTCAAGTCTTTGCTGTCATCAACATCATCTCGCTGTTTTGTACCACACCAGTATGACCGCTAGAGAAGGATATGGGAACATGTTGTGAGATTGGTGTATGACCGCTGGAGAAGGATATGGGAACATATTGTTAGATGGGTGTATGACCACTAGAGAAGGATATGGGAACATATTGTTAGATCGGTGTATGATCACTAGAGAAGGATATGGGAACATATTGTTAGATCGGTGTATGATCACTAGAGAAGGATATGGGAACATATTGTTAGATGGGTGTATGACCACTAGAGAAGGATATGGGAACATATTGTTAGATCGGTGTATGACCGCTGGAGAAGGATATGGGAACATGTTGTGAGATTGGTGTATGACCGCTGGAGAAGGATATGGGAACATATTGTTAGATGGGTGTATGACCACTAGAGAAGGATATGGGAACATATTGTTAGATGGGTGTATGATCACTAGAGAAGGATATGGGAACATATTGTTAGATGGGTGTATGACCACTAGAGAAGGATATGGGAACATATTGTTAGATGGGTGTATGACCGCTGGAGAAGGATATGGGAACATATTGTGAGATTGGTGTATGACCGCTGGAGAAGGATATGGGAACATATTGTTAGATGGGTGTATGACCACTGGAGAAGGATATGGGAACATATTATTAGATCGGTGTATGACCAAGATCACATGGACCAATCAGATCTCATCATTCTAACATGGAGGTATGATAATAACATATAACAAACAGCAGGATGACAGTCTGCTTTATTCCCTGTTCCTGACAGTAGCCTCTGTTCCTGACAGTAGCCTTATTCCCTTTTCCTGACACCAGCCTTGTTCAATGTTACCAGTTAATATAGGCTAATATAGGTTAATATAGTCTTATATGTGGATGAATGGTGCAAGGAAATATGCTAGATTCAACAAATTTACTAATATAAAAGAAATGAAGCCAGAAAACCAAATTTTCCAGGCTCAAAATATTACCTATATAAATTTGTTGCAGAATCTTGAGCTGAATATGAGTAGGTTTTAAAGTATGGGAGTTGAATAATAGTGGGGCTCTGATGACCATGGCTCTTTATTAAGTACCAAGTGATACAAACCGAAATCTGTAAGAACTCGTATAACAGATAGTAGCCATGTAATCACAAGATGCAGTGCTAACACTTGTTGGTCGGTTTGTTGTTTAACGGCGCACTCAGCAATATTCCAGCTATATGACGGTGGTCTGTAAATAATCGAGTAAGGACCAGACAGTCCAGTGTTTGATATCATGAGCCATCGATCAAACACAAATGGGATCAATGACATGCATCAACCAAGTCAGCGAGCTTGACCACCTGATTCCGTTAGTCGCTTTGTACGACAAGCATATTTGCCTTTTATGGCAAGCATTGGTTGCTGAAGACCTATTCTACCCCGGATCTTCCCGGGTCACTAACACATGTACCCCTGGTCAAAGTCTGTAAAGATCACCTACCGTCAGGAAAAAGTACCACTTCTGAGGGACTCCAAATTCTCCAGGGAAGACGGCTTCCACGTACCAGGCAATGGCACAGTAGAGAACAGAGTCGAACAACATCATGAGGAGAATGTGGAGCAGGGCGAAGTTGTCATCTACGGACACACCCTGGTCCAGGTTGCTCCACTGGACTCCCGACCCTGCCATCAAACATTTACGGCTAACTACAGTAAACTACGTTTATAACGAACTCGCTTATAATGAACTGACGGATATAACCAACTTATTTTTAGTCCCGACCATTTGTTGTATATATGCTGTATGTATGCATATAACGAACTACGGTTATTACGAACTAAAATAAGTGGTCCCCTCGAGTTCGTTATAACCGTAAACTACTGTACCACTAATAGTACTTCAGTCAATCAACCTCATTTCATGAGTTCATGTCTATGATTTTAATTTCATTGACCAACGTATCAAAAGCATGAACCTTATTTGTTATCATTCCTATACAGGGACAGACACAGTATTAAGATGTTTTTATATCGGAGGTGCTATAAGAAGTCCTGGAGCAATTGTGTTCTGTAATTTCATTGGTAAACAAAATATGCTAGGTTCAGCATTTACATCAACAATGACTGCAGTAAACGTTTCTGTGAGAGACACCATTAGTTAAATCCAACTGGGCATAATTCAAACGAGTGGTTTTTGAACTAGTTACACTCCCCTCTTATTCAATTAAACAGATTGGTGGTGATGTCTAACTCTGCATACATAATTGGTCTAAATAAATATTCTGACAAATATAATTTGTCTAATTAAAATATTTTGACAAACATAATTTGTCTAATAAAAATATTCTGGCCAACATAATTTGTCTAATAAAAATATTTTTCGTAAAGTTAGTAAACCATAAAAGTTCTTCTAATCTACATCACCAAAGATGATACTCTGCAGAGTAGATGACACTGACCTATGCCTTCAAACATGCCGATGACCTGACCGCCAAATGCCATGGCGACTTGGAAGTCAATACAGGCGGCCATCTTCTCCCCCCAAGTCATGGTATCGTACCGGTTCTGGATGAAGAAGTATGGGATGTAGGAGCAGAAGAACAGGATCCCTCCTGCCGCTGCTGCAGAGTTGGCTGGTACAAGGAACAAGGTCATTGTCAGGAACATGGAACAAGGCTCCTGTCAGGGACATGGAACAAGGTTACTGTTTGGAACAGGGGACAAGGCTACTGTCAGGAACAGGGGACAAGGCTACTGTCAGGAACAGGGAACAAGGCTACTGTCAGGAACAGGGAACAAGGTCACTGTCAGGGACATGGAACAAGGCTACTGTTTGGAACAGGGGACAAGGCTACTGTCAGGAACAGGGAACAAGGTTACTGTCAGGAACATGGAACAAGGTTACTGTTTGGAACAGGGAACAAGGTTACTGTCAGGAACATGGAACAAGGCTACTGTCAGGAACATGGAACAAGGCTACTGTTTGGAACAGGGGACAAGGCTACTGTCAGGAACATGGAACAAAGCTACTGTTTGGAACAGGGGACAAGGCTACTGTCAGGAACAAGGAACAAGGTCACTGTCAGGGACATGGAACAAGGCTACTGTCAGGAACAGGGAACAAGGTTACTGTCAGGAACATGGAACAAGGCTCCTGTTTGGAACAGGGAACAAGGTTACTGTCAGGAACATGGAACAAGGCTACTGTCAGGAACATGGAACAAGGCTACTGTTTGGAACAGGGGACAAGGCTACTGTCAGGAACATGGAACAAAGCTACTGTTTGGAACAGGGGACAAGGCTACTGTCAAGAACATGGAACAAGGCTACTGTCAGGAACAGGGAACAAGGCTACTGTCATGAACAGGGGACAAGGCTACTGTCATGGACAGGGAACAAGGTTACTGTTTGGAACAGGGGACAAGGCTACTGTCAGGAACATGGAACAAGGTTACTGTCATGGACATGGAACAAGGCTACTGTTTGGAACAGGGGACAAGGCTACTGTCAGGAACAGGGGACAAGGTTACTGTTTGGAACACGGAACAAGGTTACTGTCAGGAACAAGGAACAAAGTCACTGTCAGGGACACGGAACAAGGCTACTGTCAGGAACGGGTAATCGGACCGACCTTCTGCTCTCCAGGCAGAAACTCTATCCACTCATTACAAACACCATGACTGTAATCATTAATTCCAAGATTCAGCTTAATAGGCCTTGTGGTTTAAGAGGATTTGTTGAAAAAGCAGTGAAACCAGAAAAAACAAAGGTACATGAAGATAGAGGTCATATCTGGGTTAAAAATGAAACTCTGTAAATGTATGTAATATCACCTTTCTTGAAGAACACACTGACGGCAAAGCAGAAGCAGATGGCCGAGATGCAGTAGATGATGAGGAAGAGGAAGAGGATGAACGGGTCCGTGTTGCCGATGACGTTCTCATGCTTGGGTCCGACACGGACGGAGAAGAAGATGGTCATCAGTATGATGGAGATGAGGGAGAAGAGGAGGTACTTGATGAACCACGCCATCCAGTGCAGCCAGTTGCTCAGACCCATCATCTTCATGGACTCCTGCACACAGAACAGCAGCAAGTTAGAGGGTGGTCTGAACAGGTGTAACACAGGAGTCTGAACAGGTCTGGATGGTTTGAACAGGTGATACACAGTAGTATGAACAACTGAACAGGTTGAACAAAGTAGTCTGGATGGTCTGAACAGGTGTTACAGTCTGAATATGTCTGACAATAATATGTACATGTGTCAACTAGTAGTCTGAACAGGTCTTACAAAGTAGTCTGGTTGGTCTGAACAGGTGTTGCACAGTTGTCTGCACAGGTCTTACAAAGTAGTCTGGATGGTCTGAACAGGTCTTACAATGTAGTCTGACTGGTCTGAACAGGTGTTACACAAGAGTCTGAACAGGTCTGGATGGTCTGAACAGGTGTTACAACGTAGTCTGGTTGGTCTGAACAGGTGTTGCACAGTTGTCTGAACAGGACTTACAAAGTAGTCTGGATGGTCTGAACAGGTCTTACAATGTAGTCTGGCTGGTCTGAACAGGTCTTACAAAGTCTGGATGGTCTGAACAGGTGTTACACAAGAGTCTGATCAGGTCTGGATGGTCTGAACAGGTGTTACAACGTAGTCTGGTTGGTCTGAACAGGTGTTGCACAGTTGTCTGAACAGGTCTTACAAAGTAGTCTGGATGGTCTGAACAGGTCTTACAATGTAGTCTGGCTGGTCTGAACAGGTCTTACAAAGTCTGGATGGTCTGAACAGGTGTTACACAAGATTCTGAACAGGTCTGGATGGTCTGAACAGGTGTTACAAAGTAGTCTTGATGGTCTGAAGAGGTGTTACAGTCTGAACATGTCTAATGATAATCTGAACAGGTGTTACACAGTAGTCTGACCATGTCTGGGACAGTCATCTGAACAGGTCTTACACAGTAGTCTGAACCACTTGCATAGGCATAATACAATAACCTGTACCTTTCCCAAAAACCAGCCCTAACCCTAAGATAGACAAAATTGTTCCATAGTGAAGGTGGAGAACTGTTACAAATTCTAAACACAACTTGTATCGCATAAACTGCATACTGCAGAAATCTGTTGCCTCAAGCATATCTTGTTCCGTTAGGTCTTAGTCTACAAATACATATGGACTTTGCCTTGAGCTTTCTCTCCTTCTCATGTACGACGTCCTTGACGATGCTGAGAGCAGTGATGATGAAGCTCAACATCAGGACCAGCGGGAACTGTTTCTGTATCACCAGCACGAACGGGTCGTCATTGTACGGTGGGTAGGGGTGACGGCGCACACTCATTTTTGTCTGGTTGATTAGTTCTGAGGCTTCATCGGGAGCCAGTTCCTCAAATATAGCATAGCTAATGGCATTCTGCAGAGTCAGGAATCCCTCTCTTTGGTAACCTGGGCAAAGAATAGAAATTGATTTTTCGTATCTTTCCCCTTTTTTATGTGGTCATGGTTTTCAAACAAATAATATCAGAGCTAGATTCTAATCATGTTCATCCAAATCATTTTACTGTTACTGTTTACTACTGGGCGATTTATTGCAATGATTGTCCATATTTTCTGCCATTGCGTAAATTTGTGGCGCTTTACAATAGATAAACTAGTTATTATTATCATTTGAAAGCATGCCTTTACTGACATACTGCAAATGTATTTGAAAAGCAACAACCTAAAAAACAAACTACCTACACTAATTATGGATTAGCTGAAATAGGAAACATATTTTGTTACGGCGTGTAGGGGCTCTACCTGGCATGCCTCCACAAGGATGATTCTTTTCCCGCGGCCCTACTTTCTGGAACTGGGGATAGTTGGCCCGAGTCATCCATCGCGTGTCGGTATTGAAGGGGTTCAGAGAGGAATTCTGTTTACCAGCATTCCTTGGGGAGGAACTGAGGCGAATTGTATACTCTATCTTGTGTGGGAGCTTGTCAACCCCGGAGTTTTTGATGAAGCCGCTGAACACAATACCGCCCAGATAATCTTGTGTGTTGTTGACTGTCCCATTGGCAAACATTAGGTAGGTGACCATATCACTTTCAGTAGCAAAGGAAGCGTCTGAAACAGCAAGCAGTTAAATGATATTTCGAACTACTTTGGAATTAAAAAAGGGACTACAAATCCATGTGAACATGAAGACAAGGTCATTGATATCCCCCGCAATGCCAAATACTTGTTGTGGATAAACATATGAAACTAACTGCCATAAAACTAAAAAAATATTTGTTTAAAAAATCCCAAACTATCAAAAGGCATCAGTTCATCACTAGACCTGTCTAAGTGCCATTTTGAAGAAGAAATATCTACTGTTCAAAATCTGCTGCGGAAACAATCACAACACCAATTTTCAGTCAAAGCTGTTGCTATGGAAACTAAAAAAAAATGTTTAAATCTCAAACTATCAAAAAGCACCAGTTCACCACATGACCTTGTTGAGGATAAACATATGAAACTAACTGCCATAAAACTAGAAAAAATATTTGTTTAAAAAGGCATCAGTTCACCAGTAGACCTGTCTATGTGCCAAATTTGTCAAAGTAATATTGTACGGTTTTCAAGATCTGCTCCGGAACTGAGCACTACCGCCATTTTCAGTCAACGTCAAAGTTGCTGCCAAGGAAACTTAACTTCAAACTAAAGTTCATTTTTAAGAAATCTCAAACTATCAAAAGGGACTCTATGTACCAAGTTTGGTGAAGAAATAATCTACGGTTTTCAAAATCTAGTCAGGAAACGACATCTTGCACATACGAACATTTTAATACCACCCTGGGAAACACTTTGAGGGGGATAAGAAATTACAGATTTTAAGAATATCATATAAATATTTTCATAACTGATTTATTCGCGGTAATAAAAAAATATCGAGAAGATGCTTGGATTGGCCAAACAAAAACCTGATAACCTTGGTCAGTTGACATGACTGAGGCTAAGCTGTTAAAACTGCATGTTAAATCAACACGCTGGTAAAAATGACTACTGAGGGTTAAACATGTCTGAAACAGTCATCAGTCTTGATTCAGAACAAGCTTAACCATGGGAACACTGAAACCTGAAATCAGTACTGAATAATTCACACAATGATTTAGATTAATTACAAGGATTGGGACATGTCTGTTGCAAAGAGAAAGGGCAGTATTTAACCACTATTGTTTATGTCTGAAGAATCAACTTAAAATGTGTCAATATATATAATGACCATGATTATATATATAATCAATCTCACCATCCAAGTCTTGATGTGGAGCTCGGTATTTTGGCACACAGCACCAAACAATCTCAGCATTTTGTCTGTCATGGCATAACTACATTGGGTGTATTTGTTGCTAAACACCCACTCAGCAATATTACAGCTATATGACGGTGGCCTGTAAATAACTGCGATTGGTCCAGACAATCCAGTGAATAATATTGTGATCCGGTTGGTAAACAACTTGGATATCAACGTGGAGATTTCAGTCGACTGAAGGATTTGCAAAGCATGTGTACCGCCAACTGTGCATCGACAGATATTTCACAAATATTTTCATATTTTTATTGAAGGTGCTCAAGTGATTTGATGCACTTCGCAAAGTAAGGCCTGTTTTATTACAAAATAGATCTTGATTATCGATCAGATCGGTTTGATTGGGCGCCGTCATTTTGTTTAAAGCATTTGCAAGTGATATGTAAGGTGGAATCTGATAGGTCAGTAAGGAGGGACATAGAAGGGACATAACTCTTAATAGCCACTGATGGCGCTACGATCAAGCCTGGAAATTCCAGACTAGTTCAGCGAGGGTGGACACCAGACTTTTATAGTCAGTTAACTCCCTTGCCACGGCATGTCAGACTAAGGCGGGAGGAAAGCCCGAAGTGATGCAGGTAACAGACGTTTACCACTTCGGTGAAACCCACGAGCACGGGTATGGTGCTGACAAACCTAGAAACATAATCAGGGCAAACCGGGATTCGAACCCACAATCATACGTTTCTGGCGTGCCAAGGGATCGCGGCACCTTAGACGAATGGGCCACCCGTGCCCCCTGCCTCGGGAAGATGCCAGTGCAAGGATAACCAGAAGATACCAACCTGCAATAACCCCAATTCTCTGTTCCACTGACTTCATGATCCTCTCCATGATGGGGTTGTTCGGACTATATGCAAGTTTCCCTGGCAAACTGGGTGAAAATGGTGCTGTTTTTGGCAACTGCTCAATACCACAAGCCAGCCATGATGTGGTATTGGTGATGGGTGTTCCATTTGTTATTTGTCTAATACCAATCAGTAATAAAGAAAATAGTGTTGGAAGTCCAATTTCCAGTAAGGTTCGAACTACAGATCGCTTTTGGATCAAATAATTCTTCCACAACAACAACCGGAACTGTAACGCTTTCCCTGAGGCTTTGTGCTCCTCTATAAGTTCGTAGTTCTCATGGCCAGGCATTGTTAGTTCTCAAACTGTTTCCGGTAAACCTGTTGAAGACTGCTTACATTCTGAAAGAAAGGAACGGATATCATCATTATCATCATCATCATCATCATCATCATTTCAATCACCATCTACATCATCATCGATACAATTATCATCATTATATTCACCATCATCACCATCATCATCACTATCTACATTATCGTTATCTACATCCACCAGGCAATGTCTGAATCCTATAAATAAAGTATGATGCCTGTATATTATTCACAATTAATGGACAACTATCACATAAACTGGAGGGATGGGAGTGTAGTCAGCAAAATAAGATACAGTCCTAAAACCAATGTATCCCCCCCCCCCCCCCCCCCCACCTCTCACACACACACACACACACACACGCGCGCGCGCGCGCGCACCCTATCATACATGTTCAGTCCCCGACCCTACCTTATGTGAAGACATTGTATGCTAAAAATGTATCCATTAGAACCAATCTTGACAAGAATCTATCCCTACAATAAATTCATCATGGATCAAAGAATTCACAGAAACTGTCAATCCAAAAACTTCCCAGACTATATATACTGCTCAAAAGAAGGTAAAAAACACCCGATTCTTTCATATTACGATAGTTAATCTGTCATGGGATCAGATCGTCAGGCTTGCTGACTTGGTACATGCATGTCATTGTATCCCAATTGTGTAGATCGATGCTCATGATATGAATCACTGGATTGTCTGGTCCCGACTCGATTATTTACAGACTGCCTTCAAACAGGGGGAATATTGCTAAGTGTGGCGTTAAACAACAAACGGCCAAATCAGAAGAATGTGGTTCCAATTAGAATTGATTTCAAAATACAGTCATGACCCTGGAACCATGTTGGAAAACTATCAATTAGGAAAGTAGTTTCATGTGTGCTCTTTGTTTTATCCCAAACAATACCACACTGAAACGTCGGCAGATTAAATTAGGGTCAATAGATACATCGGAACATATTTAAGGCTTAACAATACATATTAATAGTCGACAACAGTTCATTAAATTATAAGTTTAACAATCTATCTGGATATTCAAAATTATAGATTAACAAATAATGTTCTCTACGGTCATATTAAATAATTGACAAGACTAAGGAGGTGACAATGGTTTTAAGACCCTTATTTTTTTCCAAACAAATTACCAAAATTACCACAAAATGGCAATACACGCATAACCTTGTGCTAAATCATGAATGTCAATGAGCCGAACAAGTTGTAGATCAAGCTGTTGTGCTTTCATTTTGGGTTCCATCATCTCAGACTGACTTATTGTCATGGTTACACCAAGAACAGTAGCGGCATAAACTTTTAGCAATATTCCAGCAATATTGTACCCATGTCGGGAATCGAAACCGGGTCTTCGGCATGACTAGCGAACGCTTTAACCACTAGGCTACCCGACCGCCCCATAAGAATAAGATACGTATAAAGCAATGCAAGGTCAGTGCGTGATTTATCACTTCTATACTACGCCTATAGCTAAAGGAGATAATCGCTCAATGCGCAATAGTTTATTCTTACAAAATATAGACCGGTTAACTTTAGCAAAATGGGATCATTTTTAGCTCTTTTGAAAAAAAATGAACAAATTTCATGGGTTATCAGCATTACGAAAAATGACTAAGTCTCAGAATAGCAAGACGATTTTGAAGTATCTCTTATTGCTGGAAAAGATAAACATCAACATTTCACGCACATTTCACATGATTTGTATGTTTCGTTTCGGTAACTGTGTGGCTTGAAATTTCAAAGAAACCAACATGTCGACTTACATGCTATAAAATTAACCTCTCCCGTATACTTATAAGAATAAAGAATAAAGAATGCCTTACATATCTACTGTAGTAACACATGCCATGGCAAGTAGTGCTGACTTACCAATACATGATCTGTCCGGTAGTGTACTCGGTGCACCTAGCTCGTCCCAGGCTGACACACAGTGACAAAATCCACCCATGTATGTTGAAACACTTGGTGATAAGGGTACTTACAATAAATTAGTGACATGTTTGCTTCATCAAACAGGTCCTGATTAGAAAGGTTGTTGACAAACTTGATATGTTATGTTTTGGGTGTTGACCTAGTTTTCGATACATAAACCAAATTTTAAGACATTTATTATATTGTTATTAATAAAAATATTATTAATAATATAATAATATTATTAATAATATAATACAATATTATTCCCCCAGTCAGTGGTGATGTGATGTTGATTGTTGTTGAACGCCGCACTCAGCAATATTTCAGCTATTATGCAGCGGTCTGTAATAATCAAGTCTGGACCAGACAATCCAGTGGTTGACATCATAAGCCTTGATCCATGCATTTGGAATATGATGACGTGCATCAACAAAGTCAGTGAGCCTGACCACCTGATCCCTTTCATCGCCTCTTACGACAAGCAAAGTTGTCTTTTATGGCAAGCATGGGTTGATGAAGACCTATTCTAACCCGGATCTTCACGCCACGGTCAATGGACCAGTGTGCACTCGATCTTCATTCTCAGCTCCCTGGGGATCATACAACACAAGCTGGCTGTGAGGCATTTGAAAGTTAACAGTCACATTAACAGTATTTACCTACCAAAAATCAGTGTGACCCTGTAAATCCAGAATAGACAATGTCTTTAAGAAGGTGGTCAAAAACCATCATACATGTCAAAAGTACCTCCAGTTTTTCATAGTTATCCGGTTTCTACTAAACAAGATTTTACTGTACTGTTGAAACAGCATAATATATTTTCAAAAGTAAACAGTGTGACTTTGAGAATGAAAACAAGGCCTGCCATCATTAACATTGCACACAATCTCCACAACAACAATAAAAATAACGTAAGTCACTTTTTTCAGGCCATAACATGAATGATTCAAATGTAATAGAAAATAAATTCATTGAGTTTCGTCAATAATTTATTTCCAAATCAACAATTCAATTTGCATTCATTGTCCTGGTATTTAATTGATACACTGAAGGTGAAACAGATGTTACAACTGGAGAATTTGTATTGGCCTCAACGAAATTTAAATACAAATCATCAATAAAACAGTAATTGATTTTATATCCGGTACTTCATATTTTTAAATGCTGTCACTGACTCTCACATCACTGATTTAACAGCTATTTCTATAAGCATACTTTAAAATGTAAACTTCTCCTTCTCGCCTGATATGCAGAAAGTTGATGAAAATACAGAAGTTGAAAAAATAACCGAAGACAGACACTGGCCATCACATGATTTGTATACTACGGTTGAAAATACCAAGTTTGGTCAAAACTGGGATATCCATGTTTGGAATTGCCAGACCTAAATGTTTGGAATAGCCAGACATGATGTTTGGAATAGCCAGACATGAGTGTTTGGAATAGCCAGACATGAGTGTTTGGAATTGCCTGACATGAGTGTTTGGAATTGCCAGGCATGAGTGTTCAGAATAGCCAGACATGAGTGTTCGGAATAGCCTGACATTAGTGATCAGAATAGCCAAACATGAGTGTTTGGAATAGCCAGACATGAGTGTTTGGAATAGCCAGACATGAGTGTTTGGAATAGCCTGACATGAATATTCAGAATAGCCAGACATGAGTGTTTGGAATAACCAGACATGAGTGTTTGGAATAGCCAGACATGAGTGTTCAGAATAGCCTGACATGAGTGATCAGAATAGCCAGACTTGAGTGTTTGGAATAGCCTGACATGAGTGTTTGGAATAGCCTGACATGAGTGTTTGGAATAGCCAGACATGAGTGTTTGGAATAACCAGACATGAGTGTTTGGAATTGCCTGACATGAGTGTTTGGAATTGCCAGACTTGAGTGTTTGGAATAGCCAGACATGAGTGTTTGGAATAGCAAGACATGAGTGTTTGGAATAGCCAGACATGAGTGTTTGGAATAACCAGACATCAGTGTTTGGAATAACCAGACATGAGTGTTTGAAATAGCCAGACCTGAGTGTTTGGAATAACCAAAAATGAGTGTTTGGAATAGCCAGACATGAGTGTTTGGAATAACCAGACATGAGTGTTTGGAATAGCCAGACCTAAATGTTTGGAATAGCCAGACATGAGTGTTTGGAATAGCCAGACATGAGTGTTTGGAATGGCCAGCCATGAGTGTTTGGAATGGCCAGACATGAGTGTTTGGAATGGTCAGACATGAGTGTTTGGAATAACCAGACATGAGTGTTTGGAATAGCCAGACATGAGTGTTTGGAATAGCCAGACCTGAGTGTTTGGAATTGCCAGACATGAGTGTTTGGAATTGCCAGACATGAGTGTTTGGAATAGCCAGACATGAGTGTTTGGAATAGCCAGACATGAGTGTTTGGAATAGCCAGACATGAGTGTTTGGAATAGCCAGACATGAGTGTTTGGAATAGCCAGACATGAGTGTTCAGAATAGCAAAACATGAGTGTTCGGAATAGCCAGACATTAGTGTTTGGAATAACCAGACATGAGTGTTTGGAAAAGCCAGACATGAGTGTTTGGAATAGCTTGACATGGGTTTTCAGCCAAGCCGATAAGGGCAAAAAGGTCAAATATGTTGACAATGTAAAATATCAATCTGAAAACATTGTGCTAGATGACAAAAACTTGTCTTCACAAATGAATAGGATTCAAATGAAAGGTTTGATGTTTGTATTTTTTTACTACTTCCACATTCCTGGGGAAACCCCTGGGAATTCCCTAGCACAAAAACATACCCAAGCATTCTTTCTGATCATTTAGAACCTTTAATCTTTGTCTCAGCATTTCAGTATACATTGAGAAACGTCAGAGAGTTTGACTGCTTGATTGTTCACGAACAATCTCATTAAAGTCAGATATAGGTTCTTGCTGTCGCTAAACAAAGATCTAAGGACATCATATTACAGGTCACATCAGAACAACCTCAAGCAAGCTCTGACGTTCACACAGTTCGGCCTTCACTCTATGAAGGTTCATACTCCAATAAACTCACACAAAGTGAAAGTCATTTCTTAAATATACTCCTATGGCTTTAATTAATAGCACTGTA